CTATCTAATTTATCTACATTAATTAATAAAGGTAACAAAGTCAAAATATGCCATGCCGTAGTGCACTTGAGTGATCATCTTCATTACTACAAAGTAGAGTAGGACTTTGTATCGATGTCGGCAAAATGGGCAAAGTACAAAGTAAAAACTTGATTGACTTACCGGTAGCACTATCATCGAATGTGCGTAAATCGTAAGCATCGCAACATCGATAATTTGCAGCAGTGCCATTATCCCAAACGACAAACGCATCGGATCCTTCCATACTTCTGACGGTGCCAACATGGCCTTCACCGCCATCTTGCTTGCCCCATTTCCAATCGGGTCCACGAATGACACGAGCACCGATACAAGGTAACAATCCTCTGGTCGAGCTGAGATTGCTCATGCTTTCTTCTCCGTTACTGTTTTCCGAACCCCGAATAACTATCATATCAAGATGGAAATGATGGATTCACTAACCCATTGACATTTTCAACATCCGTATTGATTTGTATTAAAATATCAAGGAAAAAAAAAAAAAAAATAGCTCAAAATGAAATTTCTATTAGCAAGTTGATGATACGAACATTTTTTTTTCCCCTTGCTCCTGTCGTATTCCAAAACTTGCAATCAATATGTTGAATTAAGAGTTGATTATACGCCTGTATGACCGACGGGATACTTTGATCGTTATTTTCAACAAGCAAATGATGTTGTTACTATTGTATGCTTGTCCAATATATTCAGAATAAGCGAATTGTTGGATGGCGGATACTACGTTAGTAGATCAAAGACGGCCAATGTTGTCAATCATCATAGCCACAATATGTACAGTAAATATCAATCGCTTCTTCTCTTGTAAACTGTTGTAACAACAAAATCAAACTATTAATATCCTTCCTCCTCCATTTCAATCCTACCTCTCCAAGGCAATCAAATAATGTCGATCTTCTATAAACGAATAGAATAGATGCAATGATGGAAAATAAAAAACAGCGCTTACTAATACTTTAATCTTCCACTCTACAACAATCGCCTCGGTAAGCATGATCTTGTTCTACTTACTTCAATTACTGTTCCACCGATCGCAGCTTGACAATACTGGTGATTGACGCGCAAAAGCGCCTCACTATGAAATGTGAAATGGACGTGGTCTACAGTCTACAGTCGTGCTCTACAATGTATAGTAGTGTACCAGACTACAATGTACTGTGAAGGTGTACTGTACTCTACTCTACAGTGTACAGTACTAGTACTGTATAAAATTCCTTTTGTTTTTCTTGTTCTACAGTACTTACAGTACTGTACAGTACAGTACTTCAATAACTCTATTCCACCGATCTCAGGTTGACAATACTGGTGACTGAAGCGCTAAAGCGCCTGACTATGAAATGTGAACTGGACGTGGTCTACAGTCTGGAACTCTACAGTGTATAGTACTGTACTAGACTACAATGTACAGTACTACAGTACAGTATGGTGAAGTACTGTATGTACAGTATACAGTACTCTACTCTACAGTACTAGTACTGTAGAAAATGCCTTTTGTTTTTTCATATTCTACAGTACAGTACCTACAGTACTTTCAATAACTCTATTCCACCGATCTTAGGTTGACAATACTGGTGATTGATGCGCAAAAGCGCCTGGACTATGAAATGTGAAATGGACGTGGTCTACAGTCTACAGTAGTGCTCTACAGTGTATAGTACTGTGCTAGACTAACATGTATTGTAGAGGTGTACTGTACAAGTGTACAGTACAGTATAAAATTTTTATTTTAAAGCTTAATATCTATAAAAGTACAAAACCTACAGCTTTAAAGTTTTCAGATTATGATAGGTTATTTATTACTCTACATTTTGGTACATTTTTTTGGCAAATTACTGCTCGATTTGGCAATAGTAATTTTAAATTTGTGCGCGGGGATAATTTCGGGACACCCTGTACAGGCTTTTTTTTTTCGGATTGCCTGTAGGGTAAATTCCACGCAGCGCCGTGCTGTACTGCACCTGTTGTGATAATTAATTTGGTTACAGATACCAGCATGTCGTCAAGTGGCCGGCCGTTCATTCACAAAAAGTGTCCGTACGTCTGTATTCGTAGCACTCCAATGAAATGAGGAACTACTGTACTAAGTAAGAGTCGCTGCTGGTACAGTGGTACTATCTAGAGACCCTCTATGACATACAGAGGGTCTCTTGTACTAACCATGCAATGCAAAACCAGGGACTACTCAAAATTGTGAATAACCCCTGACAAAACCAACATGGCAGCTCATTGAGACGACCATCGTAGACAGTATAGTGTACGGTTATAGACATGTAGCTCACTTGAAATGCCCAGTATGATGATCGACATTCATATTTGTAGTCCATACAACGTCGATCTCCGGTCCCTCTCTCCTTTTATTGTAGCGACATTGCTTCAGTCTAAAAGTTAAAATTACACTGTAGGTCTGGTCATCCAATACCGTAGAATGGCGAATTTTACAACAATAACGGTACACTATTAATTGTTCAAAAAGAGGGTTATAGACATTGATATCGTCAAAATAAACTATACAGCCATCTTCTTTAGACCTTCCTCTTTTGCCTCATATCAATTCGATACAACTCGTCGCTAAAATTGATCACGAGGATATGCACCGATTAATCTGAAATGAAAAACATCACGCTCTACCTCTACAGTATGGTCGACGGAATTGTACCACTGTACATTGTAGTAGTACCAGTAGACAACCCAAAGCGCCCAAAGGGAAAAAGTAATGGACAACTTGAAAGTTTATTATTCGCACATACTTAAACTAGTACACTGTGGTATTGCCTCATCGTTGTTATTTGATGTACTAAAACAGTCTGTACCTATTAAAAGCTAGAATAAAAGTATTCATGAATTCATTTACTGCTCTTGAAGCATGGACCATTCTTAGCAGTATTATACCATTCAAACACAAGTAGAAATTGAATAGAATGGACTTTACTGTAGTATAGGACAGTGATATATCAACATTATATATCACTAATTCACTATCGCCATACTCTACAGTGCACATTATACTGTATAATGCACTAGACTGGACTCAGTAACCTGTTGATTGAAATTAGACTCCCTAGTTCCGTATAATATTTTTCACCCTTTGGAGCGTTATGTACTCACTGTCTTGACTCCTTGAATACTGGACGTGCCATCATTAATAATAATATACACGGGTATATATAATTAATTAATGACATCTTGATTAAATCGATAGTACACGAATAACTACAAATAATAATCTCTATACTCATCAACTAACACTGTTAACCATTCCATATTTATCTACCTAGAGTAACAACCTATATATACATACGTGTATATATATAACATATACGCATATATGGTATACATAGATTATAATCTTACGTAATATGTCACTAAGCACATGCTGTACTTATTCTTATTCAATTCTTTCTAAATAAGTATACGCATGATAATTGACCATATCGAAAGTGTAGTACACATACATATAGATGTTCTGCTACCAAGTATCATATCAAACTGTTCATTGATAAAATTACAAATTAATTACAGCCTGTGCACAGTATTTAACCAACGCCTGCCTGTTCAATAATTATATAATTAATGAATGAATGATGATATAGAAAAGTAGTCAAATGTACTGTATGACCTACAGTACTATGCTAGCAATGGTTGTAAATTAAGCACAGCTGGGTATTTGGCTTCAAGTAATCTTATAATAACAGTCACCTGCAGTAAATTCAACTAGAATCAAGTTGATATAATACATGCTGAAGTCATAATAAATCTCTATGATCTCTCTCCTACCATTCAATATAAAACAAAAGTCGACAACTTTCCAATCTAACTCTATTAATTTAAATACCAATCTAATGGCTGGTTCATCTAGTTTTATACCATCAATTTAATTGCTTAAGATTGTAAATCTTATTGTCGGGATACATTTACTCTGATCAATCTCTGGGATTGCTTCAATTTTTAGCTTTTAGCGATGCTATAGATCCATGCTAATGTCATTGCATTAAATTGCCTTTCTATGCATTCATATACTAATTCGAGAGCTACTTTATTTAGCTATATACGGTCAATTTAATTAGTTAATATTAGGTATATTTATGTCTGGAAGTATGTATTTACTTCGATTAATCTCCTAGATAATTTCAGTTTCACCTTCAAATTATGCGTATACAGTAATACTGTATCGTTGTACTAAATTTTACTTCTATACATTAACAACAAAACGTGCTGCTATTACCGATTAACTCCATACATTATCCGCCTACGGGTAACCTTTCCTCACTATTCTTATTCAAGCAATTCAAACGTTTAATACATCTTTAAGCACAAAAACTATTAAATAAATTACTTTTTGAGTAACATTTTGAACGTACAAATGTATGTGAAGTTATTTCATTATCAAATCGACATCCATACATAACCTACAATAAATAGTAAACATCATTCAACAACAAGCACATTAACATTACAATGGCTTAATTTTAGGCGATGTCATGGTAATACACTATATTGAAATCTATAATATTGTATATAAACCTTTATACCCATTAGTGTCCCTATTGTAACTCATTGCATTATATCGTTCTGTCCTGTCATATTTACTGCCAGAATTTTACGTCTGTAAATTTATTGCATTCCGTTTAGGCAACTACTCCAAGGCTACGCTTGGAAGATAAGCTAAAATATTGGTTACCAAGGTTATAAATTTCGTTATCGCAAAGTAAATTATGATCGGTTCATATTTTACAATATATGACTTATAAACTGCTAGTCCTTTGCCAACAACTTAAAGTTAATACTTTTCTTATTGGGTTTACTCAAGTTAAACAACTACCATAGATTGATAAGACATGATCGATTTTACGTATTTTGGAATACGCTAAGTTGCGATTGTTTACCTTCATCTTGAAAAAGTAATTAACCAATCAACCTTATCTTTACCTTGAACGAGATTAGAGAAATTGAGGTAATTATTTAAAATGAGTACAGCAACTATTTCCGATCAACTAGTACTGACTACTGAGGCATTCCTTCTTACTTTCAACGTCGATCGAGCCCAATGTCTCCCATACAGTCGATTCAAGGTAATTTCATATTTAAAATATGAGAAGGAAATGGTAGTGATAGTTACCAAGTTACTGTTGTGTGTTTAATAAACAATGTTATATGATAGTTTCAATCAGTGGTTAGGTACCATCTAAAAGCAATAATAAGTTATGGAATGGCTAGTGTAGTTAGTATGAATGTTATAAACAAGATTAAGAAGGCAGTGTATCTATAAAATTCATCGGTAATACTAATTTAATATTTTAAACGACAATCTCCGGAAGCTAGAAGAGCATTTCAAGATAAGCTTAACTTTACTTATGGTAATATTTTGTTTTTACTGTTACTACTTATTTCCGATTATAGAATTCTACTCTTAGCAATTTGGAGAGCATAACAATCATCAACATTACTGGTATAGGACAATTAACCGATATATTTTTAAGCCTACTACTAAAAAATTGTCCTAAAATAGCGACTTTGATCTGTGATGGATGTAACAACTTAACAGATGCTGTATTTCAGTCATTAATTGAATATTGCCAGGATCTAACGACTATTAGCTTCAATTATTGCCCAAAATTAACGCATAAGGCACTACAGATATTAGGCAATTCAACATTAAAGCTCAAGAGTGCGTCATTTGTATCTTGTAATATCATATACATCCCCTCAAATTTTGTCACATCAATAGCTAATCAAGATGGAGCTTACGATTTGAAAGGAAATCCAATCCTAAATATCGATCATAAATATTTGAAGTGTGTCAATGTCAATTCTATCGAGGATAAAATATTCAAAAATGTTCATAAACAGGATATTAGTTTTAGGTAATTAAAGTCAATCATAGTCGTTTATAATTATAAAATGGTAGAGAATGTAGTTACGCTATCGTAGCCATTTCCTCTTACATTGATATAACTTCTTCATCATGCATCTTACTATTCATACTTATACAGAATTAATGTTATTGGCAATCGTGGAGTTGGAAAATCAACCTTTATAGCAAATTTATTGTCTTTTGCTAAGCAAACATCCAAAGATACCAATAGCAATCATATTCTTCATCAAGAAATTAACTCAAATCTAACTATCGATTGGAATATAACAGAGTGCACAAGTCAGGTATAAATACGCGTATACATGCTTATATTTATGGTTACATCCTATCGCTTAAGTTTATCCAAAATAAGAGATAATTTCAATATAATAAAATTGAACAAAGAGTGGTAGCGAACAGTAAAAATCATTCATTAATTAAATTTTAGTACTGAGATCGTAGTGTCATGAATCAGGAGTAATTGAAAATGAATATAACTACAATCCTGCCAATCTAGATGTACAGTATACGTACGATATTATTGCTTGTAAGGTGACTCATATCATAAATTCAGTATATAAATGTAATATAATCTTTGCAGGTAATCTGTATGGATGAATAGTTTATTCTTAATGCTATCATATAGTTTGATTATTCTTTGATTATTTTTTCACGATTTTAGGCTATGGCCTATCTTGCAACGGAGGAGTGCCCTCTTAATCTAATTATGTTTGATTTGACAAACCCCGAATTCTTACATTGGTTAAATCTCGTAAATTATAAGGTTAATAACTCAACATTGGATAAGATAATGGATTGTTATCGTTATTCATACTTACGTATAAAGTTACGTTGCTTCGTTTTATTATCTAGATAGCTAATCACAGATATTAGGAATGGGATTAACTTCATTTCGTATAATATCTTTCGTCTATCTATCAATAAAAAATTTAAACATTTTCCATTGTCTTGTATTTTTTAATAGTGCCCAAATAGTATAACTATTCTTGTTGGCACTCATGCTGAAGAATTTAATGACGCCTCCATGGAATGTGAATTAATTTATCAGAAAGTGGCAAACCCCAAAGATAGCCCGATAGAAGATCACTTATCGAAAGATAAATTGGATCAGATATTGGCTTCAGCGTAAGTTAATTTCTAACATTGAAACGAAATATAATTGGGCTTCTAAAGATATACCGATGCCTAAGTTCAGTGGCTACGGAACGAAACTTACACCTAATCATTATAATTATAATTAGTTTATAATAATTGATTGTTGATATCAATAATTACTATCGGTATAGCACATCAAATTATAACTGGTTATTGTTTAGATGAAGAAGTACAGTAAGTATATCCCAACAACCACGCATTTGATAACCATTATTATCGAAACTTTAAGCCTTTTAACAATAAATCATTGATTGCTATTGTAGTTATTATGGAGTGTAATTATAATTAATTTACGGGTTAATATTTACTATAAGAGATAATATATCTATCTTGTAATTTAATTAGAGACTGGACTGAGGCAGTAGATTCTGACCTTGATAATCAAAGAAATGTGAAAGCTATTTGCGAATTAGCTAAATCTTCGACAAAGATTCACAAAAGCGTTTATGCGGTTAGCAACAGAAAAAATGACGAGGTTATTTACTAATTTTTATTGGAAAAATTATCTTATAACTGCTATTTGCATTAATAAAATAAATAGTTCATAATGCTAATGCGATTTAACATTAATATAATGAGAGGTATTAATAATTGATATGATTATAAATAGGAAATGGCAAAAATTTTAGACACTTTCTTACAATGTGGCAAAGAAATTTTCGATAATCAAGCTCAGCCATCCTATTCAGTATCGAAAGATTATGAAGAGCTCTATGAAGATATCCTGAATCTATCCAATCAATATCCTTACTTTCGATTTTCTAAACTTCACTTGACCTTATCGGAAAAATATGAATCTACCATGAAAAACAATCTATTGAAACCTATACTAAAGCATTTGCATCTTCAGGTTGATAAAACTTTAAAGTGTATTCGGTGTTAAAATATTTGTATTTGTGATTGATACGCACATAAAAGTATTAATACCTAAAAGGCCCGCCAGTAATGAAAACTGAATCAAATCGCAATAAAAAATATTTTCAGTGTTATTATTGACTTTGGTCATACAGAATAGATTACATTTGAACTCATAGGATTTAATGGCGCATAACCTGCTTATAAATGCAATGTTGTGATATTATTTCTTAAGTTAGGAACAGTGTATTCCAATCGTTTATAAATTATTAACATTCATTTCTGCATTTTTTATTCTTCTATCAATCAATTAGGGAAAGCTGTTCTTTTTAGACAACTTTGCTGATCCATTTGTTATTTTTAATAAGAGCTGGTTAAACCAATGTCTTACTAGTAATATTCCTTACGATCAACATGTTGATGAAACATTCCAGGTATGAACATTAGTGATAGTATTTTAGAATTTTACCGTCACAGTATGCAATAAAGTCGTTCTATCCTAAATGCGTCTTTACGTATAGTATATCGCTACTGACACATTTCAAATAATGTCCTGTATTATCTATCATGACGAGATATTAACTATTAATAAGCTATTAAACAATAATAATTACTACAGGTGAACATCTCATCATTGTATATTAAATAGTGATAACTTTCTCCAATTGGAAATATAATTATGTGTCGTAGTCTGTTCTCCATCTTAATACCTGGCATACTACTAAATCATAACTTTTAAATAACATGATAGAGAAATATTGACGAACTGCCAATCAACACTGGAGCTTGTTATATATCTTATTTCAACTACGACGCTATTAATGAAAGTAACGGAAAGACATATACTGCAGATTTGCCAGATTCATCGGGGCTAGACATGGTAAATATGAGTAGTTGATTTGGATTATATTAGTATTTAAATAAAATAGATATATAAAAAGTAGATTGGAGAATAAAATTTAGTATGTAATCGCAACTACAGAGAATTCTAGCAATAATATCTTATCCTATATGGATCTAACTCATCATGAAAGATTTTTTCGTGCTCACTAGATATTTAAATGAACCAAGCACATTAGATGTTACGTCCTAAGGAATCTATATTGATTTATATTCAGAGTCTACCCTTAGAAACTTCAAAATATTTATAACTTTGTATAAAAGATTATTAGCGTTTAAACATTTAAATCATCAACAAAACTATTGAATGTTGTGATTCCAAAAGATGCATAATAATGTAAAGTAGCTATAAGTATTCACAGATTTTCGAAATATCCATAACTTTGCTTCGACAAATTATTGGCTTTTAAATATTCAAATTAATGACACTATTGAATATTGGGATGATCAAAATGTGTAATAATTTACCGTGTTAATCAACATTTTAAAGTTTACAAGATGCTTGCGACTTTTAATTAGGAAAACTGTTGGCCTACAGTAGATGAAGCTGAATTTAGCACTGAAATCAAGTATACGATTTGGAACCTTCCTGTGATAGTGTTAAATCCTTTACTGGATAAAGCTATAGCACAGTGTTGTCGATTAGCTACTAATATAATTTTATCCTGGAAAGAAGGAGTACTCTTGCGATGTGGTCATATTCAATGTCTAATTATAAGAAAAGATAACAGTAAAATCTTGGAAGATAAAAATATGACTTTGCAGTTATTTGCAAAATGTTATGATATCGATGACAAAGAAGAAATATGCCAAGAAAGTTTCTGGAATGTCGTATTGGATTTGGGATTATGTATCGAAGCAGTTCTGCATACTTCAAAGTTGATAGTCAAGGTAATGAGTTTATACTTACATCTTCAATATTTATATTTGGTTTCTCAGTTAAAAAATTGCACATTTGTCTTGCGTTATATTGGGCTCCATAATCATTACATAAGTGTAATAAATTTCCTATGCATGTAGTCATGCGATTAAAACTGATAAATCATGACTTTTAATATAAATTCTATCTAAAGTACATTTTAGTCCTTGGTATCCAACTAATGCATGCTAATTAAATGAAAATTTTAGTCAGAGCTCAATCTCAGTCATATTTATGTTCAAATTTACGATCATAAAGAGATAGAGATTTAGATTTTACTCAGAAATACCAAGTCATTTTTTAAATTTTGGTCAAATCTCTGACTCAGTCGTATTAGTATGCGAAGATACGTAGAGGAATGGCTACTATACCATAGGATCGTAGTCTGCGTATGAATAGGTATTGCCTTTGCTGAGAAAAGGATCTCAAACATGGAGAGATTGAAATAGTACTTCTTACATTATTGTGAGCTGATTAGGTTAAAGTTGATTCTTCTTTCGTCCTGTTGCTTGTTTCAATGAATACTTGAAGGTTTTAGTATATACTAGTATTCTATTAATTATCGTAACAGTTTAATGAAAAAATGACTAACGATTGCCGTAGAGTAAAATAAGATCTTTGATTTATTATGCTAGAAAATTCTTTAATCATGAAAAGCTTATACCTTTATCTATAGAAAGAAGTAGCTTGTCCTAATTGCGTTAAAAATACAACATCGAAAATGCACTACCTTGGTATTAATGAAGTCAAGCAAACTCTGGCAAGCAATTCTGGTAAAGAATTAGTTTGTCAACAACAGAACAAGAGTATTTCTGTCCGTGATATACAATATTTTGGTAAGATTATCTTACTTCGTAACTATTGCATCATATCTTAATGGCTATTTTCGGATATTTTAAGTACGAGCCGCGAGATTTTGTCGTCTGAAACTGATAAATTCTTTACTATTATTTGCCTAATCCTATAAACTTTACTTTCGAAAAAATAAATTTGATGTAAATCAATAGTATTACTCAGTTAAATTAATGTCATAAATGAGATCTAAAATTAGCAATTCAAGCCGTTTTAACTAAATTCTAACCCACTTTCAACAATTTTTATTAGTCAATGGCAAATCATCATTTTGCGTAGGCCATCGATTAAGTTATTCTAATGATACTTTAGGCTGTACACTGTGCAAAAGGTTTGTTAACATTATCAAAGAAATGCATTATACACTTTTAGAAGATATGAATTACGTTATTGGAACTGCTACTGACCATCTATTTCTCCTAAATTCAATCGTAGATATCCGAATTCCCTTATACCAGTGCTTTGTTGTCAAGACTGTGGTCGATGTCATCGCTGTCTTACCGACTTTAAAGTAAATCTTTATTTTTTAAATGATTAAATACATTTTTATACTTTATCCGTTCAATTATAATATTCAAGTAAGTATAGTATTCATTACAGTAATGTGTTTGATGACCTTTGCTGATTTTATTTCAGTGGTTGAATAATTTAATCATTTTCTTGTGTAGAAATGTTATTTACTTATGGTTATATTATTTCATATAGGTATTAATGGAAAGTTTAGAATGTAAAAAACTAATTAATCGCTCGTTCTGGAGCGAAACTAGCAATATTATAAGCATTGGCTCTGTTTTACAAGCCTGTGGTGAATATGCTTGCAGTGCTATTGGTGCAGTCTCACTAGACACAATCTATCCAAATAAATTTGAATTTTCAGTGGATGCGCCGTTGTCTTCCGTCTTTTACTTCTATTTTGGCTTAGTATCGGAGCATCATGATAGTAGATTACCTCCAGGATTTACTGATAAATCTATTGGCTTCTCTTTAATCGATAATAAACTTTTTATTAACGCTAAAGAAACCGATTACAGTCACCATGATACATCATTTCAATTGGGATCACATAATAAACTTTCTTGTTGTTTAGATCGGATATCACAAACTGAGGTAATGGGATAACAGTAGGATGTGAAATTTTCTGAACAGCTCACGAAATATTAATTCTCATTTATATTTAATAGTATTTCTGTGGCATGGTCTTCCTATTTTATTCTATTGATCCTTAGCTTCGTTATGTTTAAATTTTATTTTATTTTAGGTTCGCGTATCATTCGTAGTGGACAGTATCATTATCGCATCTTTTGTGCATGAATATCACAATCAAGGGTATTACCCAATGATATTTTGTTCTCATGACTGTTCTCGATTATTTATTCATTCAACTATACCTGCAGTAAGTGTTGAAATTAGATTTTAAGTTGGACTTATAGCATTAAATATTATAAAGGGCAGATATATATGTCATTAATATACAGATATGACATATAATCTAATAATTGTGATCATTTTCCGACTCTTTCGCACGGCAGATTGACCAAGTAGGAAAGCGAGCTGCTATACCGGTATCAAAAAGGAAAAATTATGTTGATATTGGTGTAGTTATTAAAGACTACAGCAAATTGGTAAGCTGTACATACATTAAGACTAGTATTTTTTAATATTTTCTGTATCCAGACTACTGATGATTTTAGTGAAAACCGATGATATATCATCAATCAATGACATCAATCTCAAAATAAATACAGTAATAGCCTTAACAGCGTACTTTACATGGACTAAATATCGCAGTGGATTAGATTCCTATTTCATCAAGATTGTCGCTATATTGACAGAATTCCCTCTAGATACAAAATATAAATATAAACTCATTTCCTGCGACCTTTCCTGATATAAAAAGATATATTAAAATATGTTACTCTCTAATTATATAAAAAATGATAAGATTGTCTATATTAGATTAGAATAAAATTGATCAATGATGATTGCAGTCATTACAAGTCAATCGTATGCCAATTTAGCTACTAAATTGCTATACTATATTAATTAAAAGATTGGACTTTGATTGATACACGATAGAAGAAAATAGAGATAATTAATTAAAAAAGTCAGGCACTGAGTTGCCTGCTTGAGGCAATTTACATCTACGTAGTTTACTGTATTTTCTTCTCTACGATATTCGTCTTTCATAAAATGGTTTTCACGATTGGAATAATCATATTTATTTTAGTAAAATTATAAACCAAACAAGAAATATGACCGCTAATTGTTATTTATTTAGAATACCAATTATATAGCATCTTCGATTGGAGAGATTGTTCATATATTAGAAAAGACAAATAATGACCACTATAAAGCGAAAAATTTATCTGAACAGAGCGGTTTAATTCCTATAGACTGCATCAAGGTTTTATCCTCAAATAGTATTAGATAAAGATTTTAATGATTGAATTTAATATCATTATCATAACCTCTACTACTAAATGACTAATTTCAGAAAATATTGGCCATTGAGAAAGCTAGCTTACAAAAAGGAGATTGGATAGAATTTTTTGATGCAGCTGATAAAAGCAATGCTGAGGTCCACATCCTTCAAGTGAGTGCTGTTAAATTGCAAGAAATTGATGTTGAAATCCAAGTAGACTTGCAAAAAAAAGAGAAGCGAACGATTCCTATTGACAGTCCTAATATCCATCCACTTGGATGGGCTCTCTCAACAAAATATGAAGTCACTTCACCTACAGGTCTTTACTTTAATACCATATCAGCAGAATTTAGATTTCTGAAGGACTTGAGTTTTGTTCATTTAAGCTAAAGTATACTCTATCCTCTTATTAAACTAAACATGTCCCTTTATTTTCATTTGATATAGGTTATGTCTCCAAACTTACTAACGCTATTAGTGACGGTAAACTCTATTATAAGGGTCAACGAGTTGAAATAAAGTATTCCAGTAGTTGGTATAAAGGAACTGTGTTAAAGACGAGATATTGCGATACATTCAAGGTATGATAAATAAATGCAATATGATAGCTTGCAGAATTGATATACAAACTTGATAAACTGTTAGAGAATTTCAATCGAGATATAAGTTTGATCTACTAGTGGTGTAGTTGATTTATATATAGGATCTTTTCCATACCTTATTCACGTAAGGATTGAAAATGTGATATCTTTAATAGACGAGTTATGTGGATTCAGAATGGCATAGCGTAGCCAGAGTAAATTAATTACTAGCATGAACCACAAGAAGTTTTCTTTTAGTATTTCGTATTTGTGATGGAGGGTTCAATATCTCAGAGTATTGAGATTTAGTCGCCATTTACAATTATTACACCAAAGGGTTTATAAAAGTTATGCTTTATTGTAGGTTAGTAATGTGAAGTACAGTGAGGTAGTTACGGTAGATCAGCGTGCAAGCTGTCGTGAGTAACGAGTAGAAGTATTAGACTGTGAGAGGCAAACTAGAAGACTAACTGAGAGGCTAACGAACTCTGAGGTAGAAATCGCCGGTATTTATAGTTTTAAAGATAGAGCACATGCAGAGAATAGGATTGTGGAATTAGATACAACATATACCATAACAGGTTACAAAATAGCAGATGATTGTAGAAAAAAGCGAGTACCCTAATAACTAAATACAGTAGTCTATATATGAGTGTAGAGTAAGCGGACTGTAGATCTGTCTAAATATTAGAGCAATACAACATGTCTATATTTAAGAGTAGAATATAGTTACAGTATATTCTAAATACACTACAATATTAATTGCTCCGGCATATTAACATGCAGTATAAAGGCTATTTATGCATAGAAGCACTAAACCCTAAAATCTTTCTCAGGTAAATCGATGCATTCAGAACACTATAAGGCAATCAAAATAAATCAATAGCGCGGATTATTAGAAGATTTGTTCTAGTACTCTCTACTGATAGATACAGTTTACTAAGAAACAGTATAAAGCCTTTTGCAATATACAGCGATTAAATACTTTAGTCTTTTCAGACAATTCCATGTGTTTAATCTTTAACTGTATTATGTAGCTAAGGTAAATTAATAGACAGACCATGCATGATTTTCTTCTAGTAGGCTATGCTAATAATTACAGTAAGCTAACATATAAAGCTATTGTATAGAATGATTATGTATTTATTGTATATGAGCACAGCTTTATTGATTTAGTTAAGCATCAAAGTACTTTCCAACTCCTTGCTGTATCGAGAATACACATCTTATACTGTATATGCTATTCTAAGTACATATTAATCTACATAATACTATGTTAGGCTACAGTGCTGCATCATAATATGAAAGTAGCACTTCGTCTTAATTATGTATAAATTGTATGTATGTATAGATATACGTCTAATTAGTTATACCATGGCTATACAATTACACGTTAATTACATATACTCGTACGTAAATCTTAATAGCGTTTTTCACTACAATATTAAAGTTATTTTTCAGACAAATGCATCAGTAATAATATACAGCTGTCAAAGAAGATTATCATGCAAAAATTGTATCTATGGATTTGTAACTGTAAATGTTGTCAACAATAATAAATGCTATTAAATTGGCGCATATAAAATACGAAAATACACGTATGCTGTTATAAGTAAATGATTAAAATTCTTTCATTCGTTGCTGAAATCATTTTTTATCAGATTCATTACGATGGCTGGCAAGATTCTTATGATGAGACGATAAGTCGAGAAGTATTAAGGGGTAGAGATAAGACAGCAATTTCACCCGATACTCCTATTAAAGTTGGCGATAAGGTGGAGGCTAAGTGGCATTCTACTTGGTATAAAGCAACAATTTTGCAGTGTTTCGAGAAAGAACAGGCAGCCTTCGTTAGATATGATGGTTATAGCTCCAGCTGGGATACTTGGTTCTCCGGTGATAGTCTTAAACCGTTAAAATCAAAGGATGATAGCGAAGGTAATAAAACTATAGACAATGCTTATCAGAATTTTGATAACGTAATTGCATCCTATCCTTCGTCCCATTATATATTTCTGATACATAATGTAAATGACTATTGAATAATATCAGAGCGTAAAGGAAAACCATTAAATCTTATTGAATGTATACAAGCTGAAAATGGACGTCCAGCTCCGTGCTACGCCTTTAATGAGGTTTGCATTTGCTTTCATTATTTCATATATTGGTACTTTATATATTTTGATACTTTATATATGTGTTATACTAAATGAAAATGTAAGTATATAGCTATTATTCATTCTCGTTTCTGCTTTTAAATAGGAGCAAATAAGAATTAATCCAAAAAACTATCAATCTTGTCGTAGTATTCAAGGAAATTACTCAGGTTTGAAAGAAGATAATCGTATCCTAATATTCTACAACTAAGGTTACTTAATTTAGCGCTAATTTTTTATATCTATTAGCTGTACTACTAATAATGCTATCTCAGACACTGACCTAAACTATGATTATATGCCTACAATATATCAACTTAGAAAACTTTGTATATCATCTTTTTGCTTCATATGACGGATATTCTGCTTAGACGACAATATTAGCCCTTAATATAAAGATGATACAATAACGCCCGTGTTTAAAGAATATTCAGGGTGACAGAAATATTTTACTTCTGACTTTCAACGTAATGAGCAGAACATCGATTACTTTTTATCGTTATCAGTAGATCGAGTTGTAATACTAATCTAGTTCGAGCCCTCCAAGTAATTGCATTGTAGCAGTTAATTTACATTATTAAGAGTAGATTAAGTTTCAATCAGATAGCTTAAGTCCTTTGAATAGTAAAATATTTTGCAACAGCTGTACTTTAGATTGATATGAAAGCTCTCAGAGTATTTACTTCGTATATTGTAATTTCGTAGCGCCTACTATTCGTTGGTAGAATAGATCGAGTTCAAACTATCCAAGTGATTTGCTTTGCATACACACAATTAAATTAGATATCTAATAGTTACTGTAAGTTCTCCGAGTACAAATTATATTGCCATAGAAATTGCTTTATATTATTACGTTTACATGAATTTTTCAAGAAACAAAAGTCTTATGCAATTATTATTAACTGTTAGTGATCGAGAGACTGTCAGAAAGAAACTTAGCTATCGTTCTGAAAGAGATACTGGATGCTAGACGGTGGCAATATCCTATTATGATGTTAACATTACCAGAATTTACTGATTTAATCCAATTAAGCTGCCCTATGCTGTCCCAGTTACAATATTGCCAAAGTTCAGTTGTTCACTGCTTATGCTATTCTCCAGGTAAATCGAAATAAATTTTTCTAGACAATTTTAAATCACATCTAGCCCTACGCTACATATATTCTCATAATATCGCCCTACCCTAAATATTCTATGACAATTTAGCTAGTAAAAAATGCCGACCAATTTATCACAGGGTAGTACGTATTGGTTTACTTATTATGTATTCTTAATTATATGCATTCTATGTAGGATTTCAACGTGGAATATCTCCGGCATTAGACCTGCATTTTCTTGCTAAGGAAGGTGATAAACTGGCTAAGAAAATTAATTTTTTAAATCCTAGCCAAGAAGATGCTCCTCTTCTGTGGTTTATAACGACCCTTTGCAAAACTTCTGCAATGGTATAAAAAATTACTTGATACAGTATTTGTGTTGTCTGAGCTAGAAATACTTAACCTTCAAATAGTAATTAAAAAATTTTTCTCATATTTATGGTAATTGCACATTCTTGTAAATTTTCAGGATTTAGTTGCCAGTACTGACGTTGCTGATGCGTTAGTAGGTACTAGCCTGGGACAAAACCCTGGTTTATCATTTCATCAAGTAAGGGCTGCACCTGTCTACACATTATTACATTTATGTGTATACCAATAGCATCATTTACCTTTGGACCTGCAATTTAAAAATTTTTTAATCTTGTATCTATTCAGAAGTACTATTAACAAAGCTATAGCGAATAAGTTTAACAATTATATATTTTAATTTAGATCCAAAGGGCAATCAGGGAAACTATTGATATGATTAAAGCTCAAACCCAATTTAGCATGTATTGCTACAATTTATTAGATAGAGCTTCCCGGCTACGGAAGGAAATCAAAGACAGCATTATGGTAAACGAGACTTAAACATACAATTATGAGAGAAACGTCACGTAGGACGAATAGACTATAATGGCAATACTTTCAAGTTATATGATAATTTAGCCACCATTAAGGAACGAAAAATCAATAATAGTTTTAGCCTTTACGTGTGGCTATTAAATTTCACACACTCATAAAGATTTGATCTATTTATAATTTTAACTTAATGTATAGGAAATAGCGGAATATTCACCACGAACTGCAGATAAATCTCATAGCCTTTTAAACAAGTATGATACTGGATATGGGCGCATTTTTGCATGTAACATTCACCATCAAGCAACTTTAAGCAGCAATTAACAATTAGAACATTTCCCTATGTCACAGTGTACTTCTATGCCGACTTTGACTTATATTAACTTTTCTGATAATTGTATTACTCATCTACCAGCAGAATTCTTTCAGACATTTACTCAACTTCTGTCCTTGAACTTGAACGGAAATTTACTCTCTTGTTTACCTAAAGGGATTAGTAAATTGAAAAAATTAAAATATTTGAATTTATCCAACAATAAATTGACCGATTTGCCCGACGATTTCAAAGATTGCAGTCGAAATTTGCAGGAGTTAAATCTTGCCAGCAATTACTTAACATCTTTACCTAATTATATTGGCAGCTTTATAAGCCTATTGGAGCTTGATCTTAGCTATAATCTCATTTCATCTTTACCCACCTCTCTATGCCGATTAACATCGTTAATAACCTTAAATTTAGCAGGTCATCAACTCAAAGTACTACCATCGGGCTTAGATCAGTTATCATTATTGAAAAATTTAAATTTAAGTGGCATGCCAGTCATGGAGATTACTGAAGCATCGGTTTTACATCGAAATAACATGAGGGTTACATTAACCAAAGGTCAACCGAATCGACCTGTTAACGGATATGATAACGATGTAAGTAAATACAATATTCAAACGAATCTAATATAAAATTTTGGGTACCGTTACAATACAAGATATCATACAAGTATCGCTCGTATATGGTATCTCAAGGAGTATTAACCATTATTAACTTATTAACAGGATTATATAGATCTCTTTCAAGCTTGTGATGAAGATGGCAATCATGTTCTGGATTATCTAGAGTTAAATAAGCTGAATAACCTGCTATTTACTAAAATTGTCCGTTTGAACGAAATGTTTGATGAGAATAATGACAATCAGCAAAATGCATGGCCAATATTGGGACTTAAGAATCTGGAGAATTTAACGCTAGATTACTTGCCTATAAGATCAATCCCTGAAGATTTTGGAAACTGTTTAACCAATTTGAAAACATTAAGTTTACGCCATTGCTTACTATTGGAATCGTTACCAGCATCATTAGGGGGATTGCATCTAACAAAGCTAGAAATTGTTGGTACAGAAAAAATGAGAACTCCGCCACCTGAAATCACAGCTAGAGGATTAAATTCAGTGATGGCCTACTTAAAGCGCTTATCATATGGATCATCAGAATGTAAGCGTACCAAACTTATGATGGTAGGACTTGGAGGAGCTGGCAAAACTAGGTATAAAGGCGTATACATCTTATATAGTTTTATAGTAATCTTAACTGAATTTATAACATCTACTATGGCCGCGAAATTACGTTACTGATACTGTATATTTGTTCTATTCTTGCTATCATTTGTCCGGTGTATATATATACTTGTCTAATGTCTATCTTAATTCATTAATATTATTACATAAATACCTGATAAATTTATGCCAGTAATTAGTTCTTGCCTCTTAAGGCAGTTATTAGTATAGTGTAAAATATGACAGAAATTTACCAATGACATTTTTTAATTAAAATTTTTTCCAGTCTGTCTCGGTCGTTAAGATCAGCTTCCTTTAGTGATAAAACAACTGGTGAAGAAGCCATTACTGATGGAATTGATATTGCCATTTGGACTGTTGAAACACCTGATAAACAAAAAATTGAATATAGTTTATGGGATTTCGCAGGACAGACATTATATTATAATACACATCAGGTTAGAATAGAATTAATTTGAAATAGCTTATCTTTATTAACTAATTAATATACAGTATTCTCTGATAACAGACATACTATACGTTGCAATGATAAAACTTAATGATAATATCTTAATATTATTTATTATCCATATATAGTTTTTCTTATCCAATCGTGCAGTGTACCTGCTGGTTTGGAATACACGTCTTGGCTACGAGCATGCTGGTTTGGAATTTTGGCTTAGCTCTATATCTTGTCATGCCCCAGAAGCTCCGATTTTTGTTGTTGGTACACATTGTGATAAAGTAAGTACGGAAGAAAATGAAAACTAAAATAGACCAGAAGTTAAACTATCAAAATTTTATTAGTATTAATTGTAAAGTAAGCTTTAGTTCTGAACAATTAACAAGGTTGAAAAAAGTGAAATACCAAAAGGTCGCCTCCAAAAGTTTTATCCGCAGATCCAAGGCTTTTTTACAGTTAGCTCAGCAACTGGCCAAGTTAGTATTATAGATTAGCAGTGCCCTAATGAATTCATTATAGGAACAAAATCTTTGACTTTTACTAAATCGCATTCTTTAGACCTTCCTAAAAACTTTGTCATAGAGCGATACCACGATAGAGTCAATTAGTAAACTGGAAGGCATAAATAGTCTCTAATTACATAATTAAATTTCTAGTTTATCTTCGTCGTAAACGATATCATTTTTCAATTTACGGAGCAAGTTTTGCATCATCTGGTCTTGTAAGTCCAATTATTTTGATACCTTTAGGGCATCCAAAAACTTTATGGCGATTTAATCGCTGTTACGTTGAAGCAAAAGTACATGGGTGAAAAAATTCCAAACATTTGGTTGGAGTATGAGAACTCTATTATAAGGTGAAATAGTTTGGAAGTCCTGTAAATTAAATTCATTATGAGATGTAAATATAGAAATTACTTAAAATAATTTTCCAGTAAGAGGTTTACTATCAGGCTTAATCTTTGATATTTGCCTATTCTAGATAAGCTTTAGATGGTACATGACTTTACATTTATAAAAATGAAAATATTAATATATTAAATCGTTAAATAAATTAATAGCTGCCGTAATAGGAGTAGTGTCCTATCGTGGAAGGAGATAACAGAAATTGCTTGCAACCATGGAATTTTCCAAGATGATGAAGTAATTTCTATATGATAATTAATTGGATTCTCATGTATGTGTTTGAAACTGAAATTTATAGAGATAGTAAAACAACAAATCTCCTTCTCGGTTGCCCTCTTTAGCATCTTAAGTAGTTCAGTGACATCCCATTTTAATTACCGTAAAGCAAGTGTAGAAACAGCTTTGCAGTATTGCTTATACATGAACCAACGCCAATTTGATTAGGTATACAAATAAATAGCATACGCATTATGAAAATAAACCTCATGTTTAATCATAGGAGAGAGCATGTGAAAACACGAGCAGTTTAATGGAGTCCGTTGTGTAACTCGGAATGCTAACAATTGCTCATCATCAACTACAGTAATCGCATATTTCCATTGCATTAACTATATAGACATAAAATTAGACTAAAATATGCGCAGATAATATTAGAAAAATTACCATTACCTAAATGCGATCGATACTAATCAACTACTTCTATACGTTATTAACTATCACTTCTTAATTAAAATTATTACGATATGTTATTAGATTCGCGAAGCTGTCAAGTTACTAACAGATCTTGGATCAATCCAACATTTCGATACGGAAATGTTAAGAGAGGTAGTTGTAATCAATCCTCAGTGGATTGTAGATGTTATGGCTTGCGTTGTATCGGTCCACGATAGCCCTATAAAGGTAATTATGTAAGGGAAATCAACCATTACCTTTTAAAATATTTAACTTACAGTTATACCTATCGGCAACTTCTATCTAACAGTGAATGTTGTAACTGAATTCATGTTTGCATTGCTTCTTATTAATGGTAAAAGACCGACTTCATATAATTCATTATTTTATAGAATGGTCGATTTCATCATAGTGACATGCAAAAGATTTGGTCAAAATATAATTCCAACTTACATAAATGGTTATTGGGCCTGACTGAACAATTCGATCTAAGCTTCTCACTACCTAATAAAAGCACTAATTTAGTTCCATGCTTGTTAAACGATGATGACGAAGAAGTAAGTATTTTATTTTTCAATACAAGTGCTTGAAAGTTTTAAAAATCGGATGCAAATTATAAGATTGAATCCAAACTTGTTTTATTTCACGTTCTTCAAATTTTACTTCGTTATTAGACTGATGATTTAGATAAAGAAACCTTAGAAATGGACGGTATGAAGGAAACTAAAATGGTTTATACTTTTCAGTATCTGCCAGCAGGTTTATTTAATCGACTGCAGGTATGACCATGTTATAACGTTACTTTTCACATCCAGCTATAGTTAAAAGGATTTAGAATTTTGATGAACGAATCATAACATTAGGTCATAATGCAAATTTTGTTACTTTGTAAATGTTAGGTTCGGCTATGTGAATTTACTGAAGACCAAACTATTAGCAAGCGAGGATCCAAATTAAAGAAGAATGGAAATTTTGCCGTCTTAAAACAATCAGAGTTAGTGATATAGCTAAAATTTCTTGTTTGACCTTTTTAGATATTAGATTAAACCTTTCATGGCTGTCATGTGAGAAATTAATTTTTTATATAGTCTTTTGAAACTCATATGGTCTCAAATAGCTAAAATTTCCCATTTAATTCTTTCTAGACTTGAAATTAAGAGTTTTTTAGTTCTATTTAAATGTATTGATTTATTTATAAGTACTTAGCCTCAAGGTAAAACTTGCATTATCAAGATTTATCAGAATTTCACGTTTAATCTTCTCTAGAAGCAGAGTTAAAAGTTTTGCTTACTTGAAAGCAATAGATTTATTTATATACAGTTCATTTAAGATAGTAAATATAATGTAAAAGAAAACAATCTATCAATTTACTGACATCTCCCAATCTATATGACTAACATTACTACCTTATCGATAATATCATGAATACCGAAATTAGGGCATTAAAATACGAGTATTGATTACAGTCGCACTCGGCTAACAGCCAGATTTACTGGAATTATTTAAGATTTCTTAGTAAATAAGAGTTTGATAATTAGCATTTAATTATATCTGGAACATTCATACGCCTATAATCACAAATTGCCTTCCTTGCGACAACTGAAATTATATGTCCAAAATTAGAATTTCATTTTAATTTATTTGCACACTTATCAGTTTGAAATTCACTCATAATCAGCTGTTTACGAGTTAATGACGAATTACCATGCGTTTGCTTACCTTCTTGTGTCATAAGAGATTACTCACCTTTAATAACTGGAATTATTGATCAGAGAATGATTTAAGATTATAAAGTATACTTACTGATCTATTTATTTCATATAATGGCAATAGAAATAACTTAATAGACCTTAACGTCAATGGTTTACGACCTGAAAATATGCTGTATCTAGTCAATGAGGTTTTGGAATCGTTAACTGCAGACGCTTTTCATGGCGTTCATTTTTACTATTTGGTACCTTGCCCTCACTGTTTACAAAATGTAAAGTTAACAAGTTTTATTTACTTTAGAGCTAGATTATAATTGAGTTTTGAAATGTTAAATGCTAATATGAGATCATGTTTTTGCATGATGGCGTAGGGATCTCGCGATCCATCCATGTTTTCTTCTAAGCGAATACGTAGGGCAAGAGAAGTCAAGGCGATATTTCTGCAATGCGATGCCAATTTCCATACAGTTTCCATTTCAGAGTTAGAAAGTATGGCATTATTTCTACTTAAAACTATGTTATAACTTAATCTTGTGATCCTGATTACACAAATTTTGCAAGATGGAGATGCTTGAATGCATACTAAGATTATAAATACAATATATATACTATATTTGATACCAAAATCAAGGAATCTTACCACCAACATCCAGTGATGAATTCGACGTTCACTTACAAAATGCAATGCAAGGCTTGGATGCTTTAAGCGATAGTATTATGACAGACGTATACGTAAGTTACTGCGAAGATGATTTACCTGCAGAAGAAAATTCTAATGAAACATTACATGTCAAGAGACTGATGAAATCACTAGAGGGTGAAGGCTATAAATGGTAAACAGAATAGCGATTTTAATAATACTCTCCAGTAAAATGAAATATTAAGAGTTTCTACATAGAAAACAGATGTTGGCTAATGTCATTTAATATTTAAAATTAATTTATGATTAAGCTATTCTCTAAGAATACGTTGCTTTTTATTGCTCCTGTGAACAAAGTGTTTCTAATAAAAATCTTACCTTTATTAACTCATGAGTTGTTAAAAATTATATCAATGTAGACGATGGAGATATGTAAAAATTGATATTGATATAAATTTTGATTTAATAGCGATGCTAGAGATTATCGAGAAAACTATAGCCTAGAAAATATAGCTGTTGGAATGAAACAGTCACGAGTAAGTTCGTAGTCTATCCCTAGATAGCTTCTAGGTTACAACTTTCATGAAATAATTTCGAATGCATCTAACCCACTTACGCTATTTTAATGAGAGTCTAAATCAAAATATGTTTGATGTTGAAGAAATAATATCTATTTTAGGTCGATAATAGCTACTTTAATGTTAATAATAGTGCGCAAATTTTAGCCAAATATCCATGTGAATGTTTCTTTATTTAAACTGAAAATTCGAGGAGATAATAATCAATCAATCTGATTTCTAATCATTGCTCAATTTAGGCTATTATAATTATGTTGTCTGATAATTATGAACGTAATGAACAGTGCCGATCTGAATTCTCTCATGCTTATGAACTGTTAAAAAAACCAATCATTTTAGCGGTTATTGGTAAAACTAATAATTGGACAAAAACAAATCTTGGCTTTCTTGTATCTAGTATGGTAAGAAGTGAATATCATAAGCCTAAAACTGTTTTCTTTGTTCATACATAGGCATTCTTTAAAAATTTTATATGTTATTTCACATAATGCTGTTACTAATATGATATATTTTATCTACCAGTTATATATAGATTTTTCCAATATGCAATTATACAATGAGAAACTAGATGAAATTATTGATCAAGTAGAAAAAAAGACCCATAAGAAAGTGGTAAGCATATAATCATTAGTTAATTTAAATAAACATATTAAATGGAAGGCTTTCATCACGAGTAATAACACCTACTAATTGGGTTTCATTATTGATTTTATACGTGAATATATATTATTGATTTCTTTCCTTTAGCAACATTTGCAGCAGACGGATTGCTTTATTAGTTACTGCTGGAAAAATTCAGCCAATGCTTGCGAATTAGGAATTCAGCAGGTGGATGGTGCAATTGGAAAAGGTTTGTGAACTATCCGGCTAATATAATGTAAATCTATATTGAACTCACACTTTCAACTAATAAATTGAACGCGTCTAAGTTTTCAAAGTCTTTTGTAGCCGATATAGACGGGATTAACTTTAAATTATGTGTCTTGAACTGCTAATAGCTAAATTGTTTATATGAATTAATATAATTAATCTAATTTGCACATTTACTATAATTCTCATAATGGCAGTTGATCCTAGAGACTTGAAGGATCAACTGAAAGCAAAGGGAATAACTTGTTGGATGGACATAGAACAGCTAGGAAAGGTATTAGCACATCCATTACTCAGAAGAAATAAGTTTTTATAAAAACTTGCAGATGATTCATTATGAATTTTCTATACTTTTTTTAAAAGATTAAATACTTGAAAGTTATCGTAATTGACTTGATCTACTTATATGCAAACTAACCAACGTTTAAATATTTGTGGTATTGGTATAACTTTCTTCAGGCGGGTTTATTTGAAGAAATTTCCATTGGTCTACGGAAATCAAAATTGTTTGTAGCTTGTGTTTCCGATGAGGTAAAGCTAGCTTTGACATAATAGTTTATGTATGTTATATTATCGGTTGCAGATGGTTTTATAACATAATATTAATTTACTAGAACTTCTCTAATAACTTTGCTTTATAACAATAATTTGCTCTATTAGATTAGGTATCATTTATTAAATTTCTTCGTTCGCTTTTAATAGTACGTGAAATCCAATAATTGCATAATGGAATTTCGGTTTGCTGTGACTACATTACGACTACCAACCGTTTTAGCCATTATAGGAACAGGCATCAAATGGCAGTATTCAGAAGTACGAATAGGATGAGATTACTTTAATTTTTTATTATAAGTTTATGTAAGGGTTTCAATTAAAAAACTTTAAAGTATAGCTAGCTGAAGAATAATTTTATTGTCGACGGGTATTTTATAGGTTGGAATGTTGGCAGCTAATTTGCCCATGGTAAGTGCCATATTCTTTTACAGTAATTAATTAAGTTAAATTAAATAAATGAATAAAAAATAATTATTAAATCCTTAAAATCTTTTTATATATACTTGTACAGTTCAATTTGCAAGGAAATGATTCAGAAATGTCGTCCGAAAAACTTCTATCATTCATAGTGGAGAAAATTTCTACTTTAATCAAGCCCGAAGACAATCTATTGACAACAGCCCCTAATATTGGAAAGGAAAGGAAATTACAGGACCGATCAGCCCAATTTCAGGTAAATTTAATGGATAGTAAATAACTGCAGTGAAAGTTACATTGTTACGTAAAATCATTATTACTGCTGATAAAATTTGCGACATGATACTACGAGACACAGTATATCGACATCTGATATGCTGACACTGCTAGATACAGAAATAATTTTGAATTTTATCGCTATAAGAATATCAAGTGGTTGATTCTTAATATTATAATGTTTAAGAGATTAATCTGGCATGATTTAGATTATTGTATCAAATTCATAACTTACGCTAAGTGATATTGTTTTATTTATAAAATCTTGATTAAGTAATTGCTTTCTCTACGATTTAATTACATATTATCGATGCAATATTCACTTATATTTTGTAAGGTAAAATGATATCATTGAGAAATATTGCGGTGAATTTAAGAAATTTTTATTCTTATAGGAAATGCTTGAATTAGCACAGCGAAATTTAATTCGCCAAGTCAGCAGTGTAGCTAATAGAATATCGACATCGTACCCTCGGCTATTCCTCATCGATTGGGAAGATAAACATGACGTAATATACGTATATTGCGGATAACTTATTTGACTGAATTTTCATTTAACTATGATATTAAAATACGGTTAACAAGCATTTTAAATCGCATTAAATTCGAGATGTGTTGTTACTATTTAGTAATTGATACTAAAAATTGTGTATTAAACAATCAATAGATTTACAAACTGCTTTCAACTATCGTCTGTGTCAGTCTGATAGTCATAATTAATGAAGTAAAATTAAAATTTACTCCATCATGAATACTATCAATATCGAAATAGGAATCTTTGCAACTGATCCAATTTTATCAACTTAGGGATCAGCAAATTTGGAATCCTCTAGAGAGTATTACATAAAAGTATTATGTGAGCATGAAGAGGTAAATTGCGTTACAGATATTATTATGATGTCTTATGTCGCATTTAGTGCAGATAACTGGATGATTTTCTAATAGACAAAAATATTAATAGATTAAAAGGCAAGCGTAAAATGAGTAAAGGTTACGCATAGAATTGCTATATATTATTCATACGATTAATTGGATAATTTTTATTTCAGGGTTGGCATTGTCCAGAAAGTGGAGGCACATTTCCCATCCCAGGTGGTTCATCACAAATGAAATTGTTGGTAAAAAATACAGCAAAACATTTACTTCGAGTTATGTCTATCATGAAGCACAACAATACAGGATTTAATTCACTTAATCAATCGAATGAAGATGAATTTTTTGATTATGTAGCATCGGTATGTTACAGAGTTTATATTATAAATGTTATAAATTCCAACTTTCAACAAAATTAATTTATAATCAAATGATTAACCAATTATCCCTCCCTCCTTTACTAGGCTGCTAAATCAAGTGATCTTAATATCGGACTTAATTTTACATCTTTCATATCATTTATGGATGAATTAAAAATTGAAAATATCGGATTATCAAGGTTAGTAGATAGATTCACTAACTATAGCTCGCTAACCATAAAAATTTTAAGTACGTATAACTGGTGTTGACTTCTGTCTTTAACTGTTCTTTTCTTGTTTCTATGCAAATAACTAGTATGTGTGCTTTATATCCAGTTTGTGCACTGCTCCACTGTGATCATCTTCAATCATACTAAAGCTATTAATTGTAGTAATCAATTTCAATTTTGTTGTTCTATCAAATATAGGACTCATCTTCCGAATGGTAAAGTGTTATGGTTATGCGACAAGCATAAAGCTGCTAAACATTTTACTTTAGATCATCTAGGTAGTGACTCATCGAATCAACAAGCCAAGCAGATTAATCATGTCGCTGATGTTCAACAACCAAGTGTTACATTGGCAAAGCCAAGGACTAAATTTGCAGCAGCTGCAGTTACTGTAGCGGCATCCCAGGGATTATCCAAGAGTTCAAAGTCTAGCGTTTGCTCTGTTATGTAAAATTTGGCTGTATATTTTTGTTACAATTACATAGACAAACTCGACTAGGAACTCCTTAAAATAATTCTCCTTTTTAAAAAACTTTCAAGTATTCCTTATTAATGAGTAAAACTGTTTCAAGAGTACCAGACTCGATTCTGTTCGACATCTTTTAAACTTATTTATCATAATTTAAATATGATTACTATTTCAACATCAGCTCTACTAATAATAGATACAATACTCTGTCATGTTGGATAAGTGATTGACTATTGATCAATAATTTGAGTATAGCATCTCCGAATAGATTATTCACACGATATTCACCCCAAATTGTCAATAGATTGTTTGACTTAACTAGCGATGATATAATATTTACTTTATTTTTTCCTTTAATGAAACTTTATCTGTACTATTCATTTATAAACTAACTGTAGATTCTAGACCAGACGAAAATGATTGAGAAAAATCATTTAAAATGTAACATTGCCTTTACCGATAAGTACATCTAACGTAATGTAAGTGAACTTGTATTCATATAACTTGATCTTACCTTATTGTTTATAGCATCGTCATAATATTTCATAGCGCAACGTATTTGTACTCTTGATTATTCATAGTGGTTGATTGTAGATTATAGACCAAGCAGAATAACTATATAATGTCGATTTAGACGCAATTTATTCTTGTTGATCAGTCGGTCAAGGTATCATAAGTGAGCTTGGATTACATGATTGTATCATATCCTGTATAACGGCACTTGCCACTCTATTTAATGTTAGGAATCATAAATTAATTATTATAGATCAACGAAACGATTGGACAAGATTATTGTTTAAAATACAGTTTATTGCTACTGATGACTTGGTCTAATGTACTGTAAATGAGTTTGGATTGATATGATGGCATCTTTGTTGTGTTACTGATATTTATCATGAAGTTTTATGACAGTAATCATAAATTATAGGTCAACAAACCATCTAGATAGGATCGTTTAAAATGATATTTATCCCTACGGATGAGTTGATCTAATGTGCTACAGTTATGCTTGTATTGACGCAATTGCATCTTGTGGTGTTTATATCGTTTGTTATGACATTTTATGGCATCTTTATATCCTCGATTATTTGTAGAGGATGACTAATGAAGATAATAAGCATAATTTGGTAATAGTTTTGATATACCATAATAACCTCTAAACTCATGTTCCAAAGGAACTTGTACTGTTTATCCATGAGAATTAAGTGATTCTAATTACAAGCTTTTAACCGTGGATATTTCGATCGTCTATTTTCCTTGTTATATTATTATTTCATTATGCTCATATTTTCTTTGTCATGTATTACGTATGATAACAATTATACACTCATACTAAAAATAAAATATATAGATTAGAACAACGAATAAAGTACTATTATAAGAGGATTGATAACTATAGTGTCGACCAACTTCTGGTGATATCCTTTTGTGTTCAAATGTGCTGTAGTAAAGCTATAATAATTAGGACTGATTTATACATTTAACCTACGATGTATCAATATAGTATTACTATTTATATGTATGCTATGGTATAGACCAACTTCTACTGATATCATTTTATGTTCAAATGTAGAGTATTCAAGTTTTAAGAATATTAGGATTAACTTATACATCCAACCTACAATGACGACGTTCGGTAGTGTTATAAGGTATACATGCACAATAGTACATATAGTCTAGTTAACGTAAGATGAGCTGGATACAATTACATGGAAATCAAGCTTGAGTTTGTAATATTTCAATATACTGTACGTGACAAAATACTGCATATCATTAAGTGAAAATCCAGTTTTAAATTTGTGATATTCCAATAGATACGATGAAATACTATATACAATTATATGGAAATCAAGATTGAATTTATAATATTTCGATAGATGCGGCAAGATACTGCATATCTAGTACAGTGAATTATATACTTTAAATTTACAATATTCCGATATATGCGGCATCCAGATGATTACAATTAGTCACTGATTGCTATTGCCATGCTAGGCAATCTGATCATTCTAATGCAATTTGTAGTTCCACTTGTAGTCACGATAATTTACTATAGTATATATAATTGCTGTAAAGTATACACTAGATCCTTAAAGAACTTACTCCATTCACAGTACTACTACCGATACACTAGACCGCGTGCTATACTGTGGCCTATAAACGATCTGGAATGTATATCTTCTGTACTAAGACCCTATCGTAGTTCACTAGTGTAAAGCTAGTACAAATACTATACTGTAACCAGACGAGGACACCTCTTGCTCCATTCGTCTTATTAAATTGCAGGAAGAGGCAGTTTTGGGAGAAGATTCCGTCCTAAAAAGTATTTTTAATATTAAATTACATCGTTCATTGCAATCTCCTGGTACTGTAGTAAGGCGAGTTGAGCTGTAAAAACCGCTATAGCAGCTACGATGGAAGATACATATAAATTAGAAAGAAATGATCATCAACAGGATGATGAGAGGTAAGCTAAAGAGTAGGTTAGTAGTCGTTTTTGCGTTGTTGCATGGGAGGAAATGAGATATCACTGCTATTAATTGGAAAATTGCACAGATACTTTCATCAATATTGCGTGAGATAGAGCTATTCTTGAGTCCTTAACGACAAAACTTGGATATGACAGATGTAGATAGATACCTTGAAGCCAGTACTGTATTGTTCATGGTCTTGATTACTCTTTGCCATCGTTGGTATTCGTTTTGCGTTGCCAAATAGGAAGAAATGAACTATCACTACATTCATTACATGATTGCACAGTTACGAGTACATTTATCAACATCGAATGAGATAGAGCTATTCTTGAGTCCCTGATGACAGAACTTGGATATGATAGATGTAGATAAATACCTTAACGACAGTACTGTATTGTCCATACTCTTGATTTCCTATTCTATGCTATCGTTAGCATTCGTTTTGCGTTGCCAAATGAGAAGAAGTTACCTATTGATACTTTGCAATGCTTAGATTAAAAGTACTGCATTGCCCATGGTCTAGATTTCCTACTCTATTCTATCGTGTACACATATGCAGCAGACTTAAGCCACGAATGTAGTTAATAGCATGTTGCATAGTGGCCTCCTTTTATACTTGACTATTCCCTAATTCATTGCAATATTATTATTAATAATAACGGTTGCAGGAGATCTGACATAACCCGATACTTTATTATCTGCAGTGCCAAGATTTAAAACCTCTGAAGGTTCAACAACATCCAATAGACATAACTCAGTTTTATACAAATTATTCGTACAGTTTATACCATTCAGTATAAACAGGAACTAATCAATTATAGTCTTATGCTACTATTATCTTGATTTAGTGGCTACAATTTGGTGCGAAGCTAAAGAATTCATCGTTCACAATATATTATTGCTGCTGAGGCAGTCTTGACTGCCGATTCTTCGTTGATCATTTAAAGATTACATCGCGTACTTGAATCAACTTATCTTCGATATCCCATCACCTTATAGCGTATATAAAATGTTATTTATAGCCACTGATTTCAGATGCTTTGCTTCTATAGTTTATAAAAATTTATGGCAATTAATCGTTTTCAAGATTACTACTATAGTATAATCATACAATGCAATCGATATGACTACAAGTAGCTTACACTACACATGACTGTGTTAACCATTTAAAAATTTTTTCTTCTTTTTATAGATTCCAAGCTGGTTAGTGTTATGCTAGATTAGGATAAGTATTGGGGTTCAGCTGATTTATATCAAAGATCGAAGCTTCTTTATGTCTTACGAGATATACGTATCACACTAATTATTAATATTGTCCTGTTGCTCTTTATATCTATGGTCGAAAGAGCATGAAGATGACTACGAACAGTGGGATGAAGAAGAAGATGAAGATTTCGAAATAGATTGGACCCGATCTAGTGGTAAACCTGAACCTAATACTCGTATACTAGTAAAATTCTTTCAACGTAGATTTCAAGCTAGGGTATACAGTACGGTAGATTTGTTTTTATCTATACTAATGTAAATTTTTACTATCATTTCTTTCCTATATAATATTATGATAGATTTGACCAAAAAGCTTAACACTTCCACTAATTTTAAGGTATGTACCGTACCGTATGTGTTTCTTATGAGACTTTCTTTTTTGCAGCCTATACTAATTTTCCTATGATTTACTAACTGTTTAATTGCACCACTTTGTCGTGAAGTAGATATTAATTGACTATTAATTTTATACATGTATCCTATCCTTGGAAAAATTAACTCACTTATCTGATTCTAAATATCAGACTAATGGTAATACGTTGCAGGTACTCTTGATAATTTTCAATTTTTAGTTGTATCCATTAGTATTCTTGGTTTCTTACCATTTTATTTAAACCACCTCTGCACTGTGTAGATGCAAGACCTTCAAAGCTATTTGTTAATTTATTCGATGTCTTTCATTGTTTAATAGCCAAAGCAAAAATCGTACGGAAAATATGCAAATCGAATTTGTTTAGGTATTTATTTTAAAAATATTTCCTTAAATTGAGGTGTTATTATTTTATAGTAATTATTAGTTGCATCCTATCTTTCAACTCCCAACCTTACCCTTATTTGCTAGATAAACTTGATGTCACTTTATCTAAGGAAGCCGCAAATTTGGTTCTAGAAACAGAAAAGAGAAATTCGTCTTCTCGGTTAGTAAACTTAATCCATCTAGAAACCTCTGCAATATTGACATACGAATGCAATAGAATAGAAAAAGATATTATTTATACTATAGAATCAGATGTTTGTTGCAGATATAATTTAGCACTTTCTTTAAACTAGTTCATTCGATTAAGGGATAAAATTTCTCTTAGTAGCAATTGATATGTTCTAATTGAATATAACTAATAATTATATATTATTAATTTCAGACTGCGTGAGAAAGATAAGGCTGATCGAGCTACTGTTGAACAGGTATGAGCTAAAGATTATGTTAGCATTTTACTTATCGGCCGGGTTTTATAGTGTTATGTTATCTAATCCACTATCTGTTAGGTACTCGATCCGAGGACAAGAATGATCCTTTTTAAACTACTTGACCGAAATATCATAAGCAGCATAAACGGTTGTGTTAGTACAGGGAAGGAGGTAAAAGTTTAACTCAATATGAACGTACTAAAATTAAATTCTCCATTTCTATACCGTGATTACATCATTATATTACAGGCTAACGTTTATCACGCATCTGTTAATAATGGAGAAGAAAGAGCAATAAAGGTTTGTATGTCACTGTAGTTTTTTAAATGACTCTTTAAGTGCAATTTGTCATCAAGTGTTAAAATATCTTTTTCTATAGATCTATAAAACCTCAATATTAGTCTTTAAGGATCGCGATAAATATGTTAGCGGAGAATTTAGGTATTACTTGTTGATGCTTCACAGTAAAATATATAGCCTACTTCAAGAAAATCGTTCTTTGTAAACTTGCTATTAAAACTGAATAGGTTTCGACATGGTTATTCCAAACACAATCCTCGTAAAATGGTGAAAACTTGGGCGGAAAAGGAAATGAGAAATTTGCATAGGCAAGACTTACTCTCTAGGGCGAAATAATATTTAAATTAATAATTATGTGGGCATTGCAGCCATGATAATACTGAATGATATTGAATAATAATATTTCATTACAGACTGTATACTGCTGAGATTCCTTGTCCAAAACCACTATTACTCAAGAGCCATGTTTTACTTATGGAGTTTATAGGAACTAATGGATGGTAAATATTGTAATTTTACTTGTGGTTTGATGATACAATTGTAATTGATAAGCTTTAATTAAAAAGCTTGGCTTGTAATCACGTTTAGGGCATCTCCAAGGTTAAAAGATGTGCAAATATCAGAAAGCAAAGCTAGGGAGTTATACATGCAGTGTATTAATATTATGAGACGAATGTACTGGAAATGTAAATTGGTTCATGCTGATTTAAGTGAATTTAATATTTTGTAAGTTATATGCAATACGTAAAATATTTTGAGAAATTATGTAATACTGAATATTTCTACCTCCTTATATATGTAGATACCATAAAGGTAGCTTAATCATAATTGATGTATCACAGTCAGTGGAACATGATCATCCGCACGCTTTGGAATTTTTAAGAAAGGACTGTTCGAATATAACTGGTATAAGCGATATTAATATTTCATTGATACGTGAAAAATGGATTAATTATCATTCTATTTAAAATTATTTTTGGTCTAGATTATTTTCGAAAAAGACAAGTTTGTACAATGACTGTTAAAGAGCTTTTTGATTTCATCACTGATCCTAATATCACGGATGATAATATTGATGACTATCTTGAAAAGGTTAATAACAATTGTTTGCATCACTAAGTAATTTAATTTCATTAAATTAATCTTTTTGAAGTGACTATGTACAGGCACTATTAACTCGAATCTAGCTATTGTATGGGTGATTTTTTCAATTTCTAAAAAATCTTACAGTAAATTCTTACGTCCCGTAGGCTCAAGAAATTGCAGCTGCCCGTGGATTTAGTGAAGCTCATCCGGAAGACGCAGTAAATGAGGAAGTGTTTATGCGTACCTTTATTCCCAATAGATTAGATGAAGTAGCGGACTTTGAATCTGATATTATGAAAGTACAATCTGGGGACACCGAGGATGTTAGTGAATGTATAATAGCATACAATAATTTTCTGTGTAAAACTTCTTTTTATATTACTTCTAATTTTTTAAGAGTATATACTCATTAATAATCCTATTATTTGCTAGATTCACTACCAAACCATCACAGGTTTAAGAAAAGATCTTAGTGGTCCATCGCAGGTATTTGGGTTATAAATTGTGCTAAAAAATGAAACCTTTAGAATTTTAGATTAGAACAAATATATAAAAGCTTCACTCTAGTGTCCACGGAGGTAGAATTTTTAACTATCGTTCCATAACGAATGGAATTAGTTCTTATTCAGTTTAATTGATATCGTTTCAACTTGACCTAACAAATAGGAACCATCAATCCTTACAGAACAAGCAATCGAAGATGATTCGGAAGATAGTTCAAGTACAGAATCTTCGGATGATAGTGATACTGAAACAGTCAGATCCGCGAAAGAAGAAAAAGGTCCAAAATGTAAAAGGAACGAAGATAAAGATAGCAAAAGGGTAAGTTGTACATTATCACGCGTGAGTAAGTGTAATTTTTCTAATTTTGCAATCAGTTAGCTAGGATAATAGTACTACTGGAATAACAATCTCTATATACGCGTATTTGACTTAATTTATTTGATTGATAATTATGCAAAAACATCAATTTTAAGGAACGAAAGAAATTAGCGAAGGAAGCCCAGAGAGAGAAAAGAAAAAACAAAACTCCGAAACACGTTAAGAAAAGGAAAGAAAAGGTTGCTAGAATGAAGAAAGGAAAATAAATTGTGTCTTGTAAATGGATCAAGTAATCGTGTCGTTATACGCACAATATGCATTACCATATTTGCTGTAAACATGGAATGGATATATGCAACATTTGTCGCTTGAAGTGAAAGATTCGTATAAAATATGATACGATTAAATCGGTGTTCCGGTTTGAACTCTGTATTACTTGTTAAAGCTTTAAATAGAAAAAAGATCCTACTGTCTTTAAAATTCAATTTTAAGATAACAATAATTGAAGGAATTAGTGTAAAATGAGAGACACAGTTAATTAAATCAATGTTCAGGTTTGGACTCTGTATTAATTATTCATTAAGGTCAATACTGAAATGCCATAAGGCCTTGCTACCGGTACGCTACACATTCACTCTTAGAAGTAATAGCTGTGTTATTAACCATTCTCTATGGTCACATAGTATTTTTTAAAGACCACCTAATCTGAAGTTCAATACAGTCAGGAAGGCAATAAAATGTGAAAATAACTTTATTAAAATATTAGCATCAACATTATACTAACTAATGTACTACTTGAAAGTATACAAGTACAAGAAGACGCAGCCTAGTAACAATGCCATGTGTAGCTTGTCGTTCGAGAATCATAGCTACGCGCGTGCAATCCTAATGACTATTTTAACACATAAGAATAATTTACACACTTTAGTATTACAGTTCTAACTGTATATAAATTAGTCATCATGAGCTGACGTAATAAACGTTATAGAAGCAAGAATAAAGTAAAGTCATAACTTCTTTCCTTAAGGATGTAACAGAAATGGTTACCTGAGTATTTAAATTATTATATAGCTTCAATCCTATTGATTTTATATCATCAATAATAAACATATGCGTTCCATTGCATATTAACTTAATATATTCGAGGAACGATAGTCAGTTAATTCTTGCCAAAAGCTGGTTAGGCAAATCTTATACAATAATTATCACATGATAAAATTAGTAAGTTTGATAAATTGGACATTTCTGTTAGTTTCATAAAATTAGTACTGTAGCTTACCCGTTATTGTAACGTAAATATTAAGTAATTATTGAACGTAGAAATTCATCATGAACTGATGAATTACAGATAGATTTTTATTGAAACAAATAGCACAATTTTAGATTTGAAACATTTTTAAGCAGAGAATGTACAAATAGTGTTCAATATTCATCTTAATTCTTGCTTGTTAGGCAGAATTTGGCATTATTGTTGAGTCGGAGTTTAATCACATTCGTCGATAACTGGAGCTTCTTAATTATACAAAGGCATAAAGAGTATGAGCTGAATTTTATTATTCAGCAGAGATCAATGCAGCCCTTGCATAGTTTACTCTTTCATTTGTTGTTCAACCATATCTTACTTATTTGACTAATTGGTCATTTCCATTGCTCTCATTTCTATCAAGATCTGAACCGCCTGAAATTGTTCGTATCCTATCTTTACGGGTATTTCGATTGTAACATAGATAATTTTTCAGGGTAGGGGGTAGATCCAATTCTTTAATTTTATTTAATATACTTTTGCCTAAAGCTTTACGAATAGTACGGCGACATAGACTTCTTAAGCTGTGAGGCTTGCAAGCAGCTAGATTAATTAATTTACAATTTTTAATTAGTGGCCAAATAAGTAAAGATGTGATTTATTAGTATTACAATAAATTGGCTGAAATGTAAAAAGTTTAGCCGAAAACAGTATTCCTTACGCATTTGAATGTGAGGTAAATCGTTATCATTTGCTGACGCTGGAATCAACGGTAAGAAAGCAACGTCTAACATTTCTTCGCATTCCCAGTTATTCTCATCGAGTCTCCGTACACGAATAAGCTATAGTAACGGTATAAAGATTGAAGAGCCGTATGCTAAGTATTGATGGACTAACATCGTAAAAAGTACTTTGATTGATATGTATGCGTATAACACGACTTTTTGTAAAGTCATAATTTTGCTTTGTAATATCAATGCTGAAATGAATGGTTAAAATCATAGAGTTAACTTAAAGCCATGTAATACGTACAGTGTATCATTGAAGATAATTTTAAATTTGCAATGTAAAGAGTGAGTGTCGTAAATGTTGATTTTATAGTATTATGGAAGGAATTGCTATACTGCTGTAACTTTACCGGTATGAAATTCAATATAAGCTACCAAGAATACATATATGAATGCAAAATTTACAATGCACTCATGGTCCTTGTATACTGTAATAACTCCGTTCGATGTATTGTAAATATGTAACATTAATGTACTGCCATAAAAGACCAATTTCCTGCCAGTACAAACTGCTGAATGATTGCAATAGTACATCATGTCTACATGTACACATTTTCTACCTGAGCAATGATAAACTATTGATCCGACTAAGGTCAATTCAACTCTAAATATTGATCACATATGCATACTAATAGTAAATAAAATTACAAAGATAAATACCATTTTAACCTCTTGCCTTTTCTATTCTCGATATTACTCATACTACATCACTGGTTGTTGAATCAAATACGTTAATTGCAATGTCATCACACAATCATCATATTATTGTTTTCAACTTTTAATCTAGATTCTAGGCTAATGGTACATTTTTTACTGTATCATTCCGTCGTTTACTATCAGGAATAAAACAAATAGGATAAAACAAGTAATAAATTCACCTTATCATTAAATGGCATAATTAAATAACCATTAATATTTAGTAATTGCTTAAAAAAGTCATAAGATTCCTCTGGGCAAGCAGCACCGACATAGATCCTATCGTAGCGCCTATGAGATGATAAAGGTTTGTAAGATCCATACAGTTAGTTAATCAATACAACGTTATCATTCATGATCATTACTGGACTAGTGTAGAATAGGATGGATGTTAGCAGTTACATTTGCACGTGGTTATGTAACACAGTCAATAGAATTGATATGGAAGTAATAGGTATCCAAACCAGCATTACCTGGCACTTGGGTTGATACGAAAGCAATTTCCATGGACAAAAATCGGGTTACAAAAGTCAATGATATCTTCATCATTACAATACATAATCAAATATTCTTTGAGTTTACTTTTGGCGTATTCAACTACATCCAAGTGCAATTCAATACCATGATTCACACCAAATGGCCCTAGAAGATTGCCTATGACAGTGGATAAATAACCAGTTCCACTACCGATATTTAAAAATGATTGACCTATAATAGAAAAGAAGATTTGGAATAAATAGATGGATTTCAATGGTTACAATTATTGCAGGTCGATATTGGCAATAGCAATCAAATGGACTATTCATTTCGTTTGTCACGGTTGTGCTGGTATTTAGGAAACAATCCGCCTGTATGACTTCTGTCGATTTTAAATTATCCATCAGTCTACTCGATTTCCATATAAAGAACATATTCCGCTTTTAGCAAAACAGTTGATATTTTGCTGGTTAACCGTTAACTTTACACTCGAATTGTTTTGCTATTGACTAGCTTTGTTAAGGTTGGGCGATTATTTGATGATGCATTTTTAACCATTTTGAATTTATTTCAGTAAGTTATTGCTATAGAGGAAATGATTATTTTTGTTTGCAGTTGTAAATTTAGAAGATATTTCCTGCCGGATTAATCATGAACATTACTCAATGCGCTAATTTGTGTGCTATTTTTACTAGTTTTATAGAGATTGTATAACATTTTGGTGATCCACTTTTAAGCTTTTAAAGCATTTATGATCCATTTGTAGTCAGTTCCGGCGGTTAAGTGAACGATTAGTAGTACTGTTTTTTGCAGTTGTACTCCATATAGAAGACAATCGAAATATCGATGAAATCTTACCTTTGAATGGTATTACATGACGGTAGTCTAATAATCATCACGTAAAGTAATGGACTAAGTTATAGTTACGGTGTTATACGAGAAGATAGAGCGTAAGGATCGGGAATGCTATCTAATTGCGTACAGTAAGTGGATTATTTACTGCCTGTAGTCTTGCTCTAGACAATAGGTTACCATTTGTAATGCTCGTCGAAAGTAATTCATCTTGCTATTTATTGAATCCAATAGTTCCCTAACAATTCTCCTCTTCTTCTTAACCCAGTAAGAAGAAAAAACATGTGACCCACTGGTCTCCATGATTTGAACCGGTAAGAAGGAAAAGAAGGGATGAATTTTTACGCGTGCTGAAAGTCCAATCCAAGGCAACATTGAGTATCATAGTCTACGTTGTCTACATTATACTATACTACTGTCTGTATGTTTGGATTGAAAAAGAATTGATCGAATATGTAGTGAATGGTATGATTGTAGTTCAAGACGGAAGTGAGGAAATTTCTTTTTGCAGACTCTTTTTTTGGCCCCTTTCCCTGATGTGTATAACTTACAAACTATATATTGTCCCATTTTAAATGAAGTCAACGAATGAAAGCCAATAGCTACCTGGTTGGATCATTAATCTTTCGGCTACTTCAGCATAAATACAAGCCGCACTAATATGTAAATTGCCTTGTTTCCATGCCATATCACAGTAAGCATTTTCTTGATATTCTTCTAAATAATAATGGCCTCGGTCGACCGAACGAAATGCTTTCTCAACACTAGGTGTGCGAAGATAATCGACTTTCTTCAAGTTATCGATCAATTCATCATTATCTTCACCACTGCTTACAACACCTCCCATCTTGATGAATTGAATATAGGATTGAAAGCGAGTATTCAACAACGTCTGGATGATTTCCAATGTGCAGACAGGTTTTATTGATTCAATTTCTCTTGTCACGCTATCCACAAACCAAGTCGTTATCGACAATAACTCGACGATGGGCTACAATTTCAACGTTTGAAGGGAATCACAAACTTTTCTCAGTTAATTTCTGACTACTTGTGAGTCAGAAAGAGAAACGCCATTGAGTGCGCCATCAAGGCAATGCTCCATTTCCTATGGTGGGACGCTTGTTGTTGTTGATGTTTTTGTTGATATTATTTTTAATACCGAAGGGAGAGGCTGATTGGAATGTAAAGGAGTAGACTGTTGCAAACCGCGCACAGGATCGATACGATACCATGAACTAGATAGGACAATCCAATACAGCAAAGAGAGAGAGAGAAAATGGTGGGTACTGGTACGATACTGGTACTGATCGCCAGTCTGGCGTCCAATGGAAAAGAGTACTATACACTGTAGGAGAGAGTACTATGTATTGTAGAACTCGATAGCACAATCCAATACAGTACAGTACAGTACTGTACTGTACTGTACAGCAAAGACTGAGAGAGAAAATGGTGGGTACTGGTATTATGCTGGTACTGATCGCCAGTCTGGTATCCAATGGAAAAGAGTACTATACACTGTAGAAGAGAGTACTATGTATTGTAGCACAGCCGTCTCATTGGCCATCACTTTCTTTCTAGGAAGTCGAGTGTACAGTACGTACACAAAGGCCACGACTGCGCCTGAGTCACCGGCTGACAATACTCTTCTTGTACTAGGTAAGTGTTGAATCATCAGTAACGACAGTATAGCTGTGTAGTGGATGCAACATGGACTTTCCTTTTGTTATGGTAACATCTTGCCTATCGTAGAGTAGAAATAATCGACGAGAAACCAGCGGAATTTACACTGCTGTGCAGTGTACACTAGTAGTCATCGACAGTACAGTATTATTAGTTGATGTCGTTGAAAATATCAATTTGGAAAAAGCTCTCCTAGGTCTAGACAGCGGGCTCCAACTATTCTGCAGGACAATATCGACCTAACAGATTAAGTCAACACACTATCGTGACGTGTGTTCATAAAGTTGACAGTAGTCACGTGACATGAAGTCATTCATCATGATCTTACCTCAAGATCTCCAAACCAGAAATTGTAGCTGCTGACAGTGTACTGTACTGTACACTGTACAGTAGCAAAACGATCGTTGAATACAGTACTGTATACTGTACACTATACTGTATAGCTCTACCCATTGGGAATTGACATCGAAATTACAGGGACTACTAGAGCTGCAGATCCCTGCCATGGGACTCAACCCCACAATATATCCGAACATTTTGCAAAAGCTGGAACCGAAATGCTGATAGTGCTAGACATCGACTTTGTTTTTGTGCATTTATTCAATTACTTGGACAGCGTTGAGTAAAATAAGTGAAGAAAAAATGGAGCACATCGGCAGCTCCACCTCGTACAGTACATGATGTCGACCTGAAGTGAAGGCTGAACTTTCAACTATGGATATACTGTACAGTACCTGGACGTACAGTACTGTACATACAGTACTGTACTGTACAGTACAGTAAAACTGCATGGCGTAAAGTACAGTACAGTACTGTACTGTACTGTATCCAACTTCCTACAGTACTCTCCATTTTGTCTCGTACTGTACTGTGGTGAGGACGCATAAAACCAAGGTTGCCAGGACAGGACATGCTTCGCTGTGGATGAAATAATGTACAATTTAGCCACGACAGTTGGAGCGATCGAATATGAAAACTTTAAAGCTGTAAGTTTTGTACTTTTAGAGACATTAAGCTTTAAAATATAAAAGTTTAAATAAACTATGCTACCTATTCTACTGTACAGTGTACAGTACAGTACAGTACCTTCTTAACAGGATTTGACTAGATTTACGAGTGTGCGGGTAAACCTACAGTACCGTAGAATCCCCTCCCCGTACCGGCAACCCTCACGAAAACATTGACCCGTCGTCGGGTTTGACCGGCTTCTACGGTACAGTACGGTACTGCACACAGTGTACAGTACTGTACCTTACAGTACATTTTACTGTATCGTACTGTACGGTACCGTATAGCGATTTGTACTGTGTTGTAGATGAGCTTGAGGTATCAAGGCTTGAGCTATCACAAACCGAGCAAGAACTTGCCTTGAAGAGATCTCAAAACAATTTCAGCTTGGCATCTTGTGCCGTTCTACTGGATTTCAAGATGACTTTCATGAATGCAATGTACAACTTTTTCAATCGTCATCGCCGAAAAATTATCATTTCGTCAGCCATTGCTGGAGGTATGTATTGCTCAAGAATCGTTGATAAGGGACTGTTAACCGATTGCAATTTTATAGTTGGATGCATACCAATACTAGGCTCAAAAAGATGCCAATGCTTTTCTTATCCACATGCAGTAATTCTATTTGTCTAATCGATAGCATTGTCCAATTAACTTACCATTCATTCTATTATTATTCAGAGTCTTGTTGCATCATCTACGATAATAGTACAACTACAAGATTCACCGTAGTAATAGGCAATCAAATCATAACGATGATAATACGAAGATGGATAGACTACGATCAGTTGTTCGAAAGCACGCAATTGTAAATTGCGGTCCGTACACACTGACATACCTTAACAACTTTCAAAGTCTTTTCATCTTATATACATGTATCGAGTGTAGGCTTAGCATATCATAGATACTCTATGTTGTAACCATGTCATAGTTTTGACTTAGTAGCGCAAGAAACACGGTATCATTATCTTAACTCCTATACAGTACACTGTAGATGCAGTAGGTAAAGTGGTGAAATAGACAGCAAGCAAGCGGTCGAACGCTTTTACTATCAGTCTATCAACTTGAAATGCTCTGACCAAAGTCCAAAACAGTCCAAGCTCTTGTCATCATTATCATCCCCAGAATCTGCTCATTTAGATATCATAGATGATGACCGAGATAGATTAAGTCGATAAGTGGATTGAAATGTTCACCTTTAAATGAAGTTGAAAAGGATAAACAGACACATTAGCTAAATGACATTTCTTATAAATACAGACAGTAATTTGTAGTACTGTATAGAAAACGGAACACTTGTCAATATAGGCAACGCATTGTGAGATGTAAAACAGAAAACAGCATTTTTTTCTTATAAATACAGTACAAATAGTAATTTAAACTATTCAAGAAACTCGTCTATGCAGCCAACGTATTAGAACATGTAAAAAAGGATAGATTGTCATAGAACGAATCTGCAGCAACTTCACTTAATTTCGTGCAATTTAATCCTAATAATGTAAGCTAGAAACCATAGGGGTCACTAGTGCAAAGCATGTCTTATAGACATCTCCTTGTTTCTAGAGGAAATGAAGGTATAGCTGAAGCCCGTAAGATATACTTAATTAATCGTACTATGAAGTATGTACTGTACAACAGCACTTTATCGGACACGATTTTGTATTGCTGCCACAGACCCTGACAAAAATCGAAGCAGGCTTTTTCTCCTAAAACTATAAAATAATCTCTCCATTATAATAAACTTGTTTCTCCATCTCATGACAGCTAGATACTAACAATTTTAGGTACTATAGAATCTAATCTACAATCCTAAATTAATAGCAATATATTTATAACCAAGGTGTTGTTGTCTTGGTCAAATATTCACAATGGCGATTGCAAAAATATATTGAAGGCGAAACAACGTTACAAATGACACGAGCAAGGTATGTACAATTGATACGATCACAAAGTACCTTTTCAATAAGGGATTTAGTAATTAATTACTGTATTCGCCTATTCCAAAATTAGTAGTCACCGCTATACTGCTGGCGTAAATCGCTTCTTCTGTTACTTGATTAGGATATAAACCATTATATCCTAAATCTTATTCATCTTTATCGCTTTTATAGGATGGAGAATCATTTTAACAACAATCAAAAGACTTGCCATTTAACAAGTAAAACTAATAGTAGTATTCATACTCTTATATCTATCTTGACAAGTAAAATTACTCATATGAAATGTATGATACCTGACCAATTTTCCTGTAAAGTTTACCTGCATATCTATTTTATATTCTTACGTATAGTTATATCATTACTGCCAAATCTAAGTGAAGCAATCGAAAAAGAAATCAATTTGGATGAGTTAACAGAAAAACTGAAAGCAAGGTAGATTCAGAACAAAAATACTAGGTTAAATGGTGTCCGTTTATTTATCAGTAAAACACTTTGTGCAAAATTCTTATTTGATAAAAATGATTATCATTCCATAATCATTAAATTAATTTTTTTAATATTCATCCGTTAGACCTCCAAATCGTCTGCAAATCTGGGAAAATTTAAAGACGCTAAGTAATAAACTTGAACTGCTATTCTTTCGTTAGACAGGATATTGTATCTTAGATATGTTATATCCATTTATTACATAGCATTTACACAAGTGGTAACCAAGTTATACAGCGTATGCATGCTAACGATTTTGGTTCGTATTCAACTAAATATTATTGGTGGTTATATGTACCTTGATAGCACAAATGATAAAGAGACAAAAAATGTAAGTTGCTATTATTGTAATCACTTATATGACAATAACTTAAAAGCATTCGTATGAAGAGAATTCTTCTAATTCATAATTGCAGGCAGATAGCGATCAAACTTACGCCTCTGCACGATTACAACAGCGCTATCTTTCCGTGGTCTATTATTTATTGGGAGATGGTATTGCGCTAATATCAATAAAAGATAATACAGTAATAGCCAAACGTTATCTACATTATATAACTCCAAATCAATTTGTTTATATTAGGAATGAAAGAGTTTATAAAAGTTGTGAAAGATACCATAAGTGATATTGTTACAAAGTAAGTTATATGAATATTCGAGATATTATAATACAACTATATTTAAGAATCTTTATACTTATGCAATACTGAGTACAGTAGATGACCAATAAGGATGATTGCCAATAGATAAAGTAAACTTGTAAATAAACTCATTTTCAATTTCGATGTCAATCAATTCAAACAGCTTAAGCCTAAAGAAAGAAGTATCACTTGGCGATATTAGTCAATTGTTTCAAAGAATAAGGATGGTTTTACATGATAAATTATGTCAAGCTAATCAAGATTCGAAAAGGTATAGTCATAGTTTACCCTATAATTTCAATTCCTGTTAATGTAATCAAAGATTCACTTACAATGTCTCATTATATTCATTTTTGACACTATATCTAGCTTTTTAACCTCGTTCATGATACCTCCTAACGATGAAATAAGTGACTCGGTATTTAGCTATGCTTCACTATGAAACTGACCTACCTTGTTAATCGTCAATAGTTTCTGCGATATTTTTGCAATCTTCAGGAATATGATATATTTTAACTAATTACTGAACCATTGTTTATTTACGTATAGTTTGAATCCCTTCAAGAGAATCAATTATTTAGTAAACTGATGTCAGAAACTAGAGATATGATAGAAAGTCAAGATTGCATTAAAGTAATGAACCATTGTTTAGATTTTGGTTTTAATACTTTTATGGACAAGGTTGATGAGGCTGTTAAACAGCAAGTGACTTCGAAGAATATTGAGTAAGCTTCCTTACATTCGATAACATAAATTAGTTATTATCAATTGTTACTTTTCTTGTAGTACTTTGTAATGAATCTTTATTTGATTACTATATTACAGAATTACTTTGGCAGTTGCAAAATTATTGCCAGTTGTAACGAGTCAACTTAAAGTCATGATGAAAGAATCAAGTAACACTTCCAATTCATTCTTGCAGGTATACAGTACTATTGTTTAAAGAATCCTATTTTAAACTTTTAGTAGCTATTAATGCCGTTAGAGATGGAATAACTTTAAATTCTTTGTGTTATTAATGCCTGTTACTAACAGTTAATCAGATTAATTGTATGTAATTATGCTCAAAATACCCGTAAAATGAGCAGAGGTAAATTGTAATTCTTGATTACTTTTGAACAATTTTAGAAATTGATGGATCACAAATTAATTGAAATGTTATCATTGAACATATATGAAGCATTTGCGCAGCCTATTTAAAGAAAATGCACAATAAGGATATCATTATAAAATGTGTTAGATGTTACAGCCCCATACGGAGAATTTACAACTTAATCTAAACATAATTTCGATTTTCGTATTGTAAACACATCTCCCATGCAATTATCAATGCCATTTTTTAACATTTCTTATCATTTATGTACAATCAACAAATGTATTAAGTCTATTATAAGAACTGATAGATTATACTCGTAAATGCAATGATGCGATCATAGCAAATTCTTTTTTATTGCATATTACTAGTCATGTCTATATGACAATCGCCATAGTTTTATTTCTTCGCCCATAGCTAATTTAGGGTATGTTCAGAAACTATCTAAATAAGGTAATCTTATGGTACTACTGTAAACTCCATAAATCTTTCCACTACGGTGTATTTCTCTTAGTCGCTACGGTACATAAATATTTACTTGCAAAAAATTTTCATTAATTTTCGATAGCACTATTATAAATGCAGTGACTACTACTAGCTTATATCGCCCATGGTTATAAACTTTAATCATAATATTAATTATAACCGAGTGACCTATAAATGTATAATAAATGAATGATTAATTCTTTCAACACATTCTTTGGACTTCGAAAGGATTTCTTAAAACCGTGTTGCTCATTCTTATCAAACCTGTGTTTGATTGAATATTAGAATATACGAGTAGTCCTTCGTAGTAGTAATCTAATGGAATACTACTTAATCCCAATTGCACGATAATTTTAATGATAATGGCAACGAGCAGCCCTCATTTATTTTATTTAGTATAATGAACGAAAGCATAAGTGAAATGTTTAAGTAATGTAATATACTGCCTTTTGATTGTCCTATCCATTTTCATGTATTCTCATCAAGAAAGATCATTATGTTTCATTAACATCACACATGCAATTATTAGGCAACAATCAATCAAATGGTTTACACATATATATATCCATTAAAGAAATGTAAATGATTTTAACATTTTATGAGATATGATTTTTACATCCTAGAGAATTTAAAATAAGTATCGTTAATATATATATATACCTTATTTAATGTAGTAAACATGATCTTAGAGTGGTATTTTAAAATTCTAATGCCGCACAATTGATTTATTACTGTCTTCAATTGTATGCATGAAAACTGTGATATCAGAATGCGCGTAGTAGAATACTTTTCGTAATGTATGATCGAACTAGATTAATTCAGTGAACTAATTGAAATTACTTTTTCGTATAATAGTATGTATTATAGCAAAATTATGATCTGTTAGCCTTTTTCTTCTCATCCATCACTTCTCTTCGACAACACTTGGTAAAGGTTTTATGGAAGTCTTTACATTTGTTCATTTCTTTAATTTCGTTTATATGTCGATTGATGCTAGTTTTTGATTCTAACTTCATTTTCTTAGTTGTAATCATATTGAATAATCTATCGATACTGATAGATTTTAGATGACAACGATAGCCTTTCTTAGCAGCTAGGATACCCCATTTGCAGCAATTGCGAACTTTATTGACTAATCTTCTTTCATATGTTGTTAAAACGTCTTCCTCTTCATGTTTTGCCCCATGACCAGACGTAGCCATAGTAGGTGAACTTTTATTGTCTGCTGCTATTGCAAATTATATAAAATAGCAATAAGTATTTAAATAATATATTTCAATTTAACGATTTCGAGTTGAAATAGACCTACTAAGATAATTCATAAAAAGAAAATTAAAGCTAAAATGCTTTATTTAATTACTACCCACTAGCATGGCAAAGTGAACAACACAAAGCATATCTAGTTATGTCCTGTTCGAGTCATAGTTTTATCCTAGTAAGTACAGCATACTATCAAATTGATACCTATTTGATAGTAATCTGATAAGCAAATTTTTTAGCTACCATTTGTTTCCATATTCAATTTCAAATATTAAAAAGGAACAAATTCAGTACTCCAGACTTATAGTTGAATAAATTTTGAATAGACCCTAACATGTAATGAATTACATTTTTGTCACTGCAATTTAAAGAAGTAACCCTTACATCGTTTAATGGCTTTCTCATAAATATGAGATAATACAGTAGCTTAACTAAATTGCAACATTCAAAACTTTAAAGCCTTAGGTAATACTGCTACGATATTAGATGTTCATTTGTTGAATTCCTTTGGTTGTAGTTTTCCTTTGTGCTCGAGCAAGAACTGAGATAATAATCGATTGCTATCCATAAATAGATTAAGTCCATTTTATAATTTTCTGTTTAGTTACTGTAAGGATTAGTAAATGAAAGGACCAAGTTTTCTAGCCCTCGACGTACCTCGGATTATTATATTACACTTTATTAACTTTAAATAGTTGCTCATTGATGAAAGATAGTTATATGAGATTTATCATGTGTTTGTACTGTATATCGGTAAAACTAGGATATTATAATGTTTACGGTAAAGATAGCAAATAGAGCGGTAATTCATATATTAGAATATGGTTAGTTCATCATATTCTGACTAGTAGAAATAATGTCTAAGTAACTACTGTATTAATTTCCATATTGGATTAATGATGGTCCGCTGTAAAATGCTGTTACTAATAATAATATGAATATGTATAAAATATGGTAGAATGTTGCTTTGCTGATTGCAGCTGTGAATGCTACGCTACGAAAGGTATTAAGGTGGAAACTTAGATTATTCTAGTAATTCTTTCTAAAAGTGCTTAGAAGTTGTATTCCTCTAGAGTAGAGCTGTGCATACGTTGTCTTTGTATAAGATCTAGTAAAGTTCTAATTTTTATAAATTTTGAATTTTCGTGATTGCTTATATCACAATAGCATATCGGAAGTCTTTCTCTTTACTAGAGATAGCATTACACTACTAATATATGTTGAATTGAATGTTCAAAATATATCACGCTTATATATATAATCATTGAGACCATAATTTTATCTATGGATTACTCGCAGTAGAGCTACTGTACTACCGTCCTTCATAAAGTAAACTTCTTTTCTAAATATTTTGTTTCTAAGAAAATCGGCTAGATACAGTAGCAATTACTATTCCCTATTTTGAAAATGTATAATAGCGATGAATTATTTCTTAATTAAAATTCAATTATGCTTTGTATTGACGCGCAGTATAGTAGAATATTCACAGATCTAGCGTATTTTAGATTTAAAATGTGATACTTTATGTCATCGGCAATCTATTTTTTGTGACTTTAACTTCGGAGATTAGAGTTAGCTTTATTTCTACAATGAAAATTGCTTGTAAAACAGAAGTTAAGTTGTTTTCACTAGAATGTAATCCTACTCATAATTTATTCTATTTGATTTATGCGTTGCTTCAATATCAAAGTATCAATCAAGCATATGTTGATCTTTAGTCTATATCGCTATACATAACTCGAACGTTTAACTTTAATATCTACCTTACAACGTAATCATGGTTGTTATGTATAAATACGATATAATATCTCCTCAATAAAATGAATAAAGTGTGTATCTAGATAGCGTTTATTATCGTTAATGTCAACAGACTAGCTGCAATTCGTACACTTATCGTTATAGTAATATGATTACAATCTACTCTATCATGGCTAATTAATTGAAAAATATTACGTAAACTGAAACTTAATGAATCATAAAATATTTATACTCTATATTGTTACAGTTTTACGTCAATCTAATTAATGTTATGCGCGTACTCGGTCAAGGTCAACTATGTAATTTTTTATGTTCATATGAACTAATTAATTAATGGCATAAAAACATGAAGTAATACGTAGGTAAGTACAATAGTTAATATATAAATAAAAATAAAATTAGACCAAACGGTCATTTATGTTACTCGTTTAAGGAATAATAAGATGAGATTTTGACACTAGTGCTTGTTCAATTTCATGCCAACTAGGTACTGTACTGCGTATCTTTTGAACAAATAAACAGGCATGGTCATTGTAGTAGGTCATTGAATTCTAGCAATATCCGAAAATCTTATAATTTAAACTTTTAGTTGAGTAATGAGGAAAAAAAAGTGTGAAAAATAACAATACTTACTCACGTTATTTTTAAGTGAGTTAGAAATGATATTTAAGTGATAGCAGCTACGTGGATCTTTTATCTGCATGGCTTTGAAACTGATCAATAATAGCCAAATATCTCTTTGTACACATAAGTAAATAGTAATAATTCATCATGAAAGTAATTTCTATTGTCTTTCTCAGAAGTTTTTAAATACTGCACTATTTCATCTTCAATATTGCAGATAAAATTATTATTTTATAATCCCATTAAAATCTAACTACGACTAAAAATCGCATTGAAATTTTAGCTCTAAAGGCAGATTTTCTATTATTATTATCATATCACATATTCTCTTTTTGGGTATCAAGTAGAATATTGATAGGCATGCTTCCCTTTCCTTTTTTGTTAATTTGATAAATTTTCATCTACATAGGGTCTTGTTGATAGAATATTGTCGATTTTAAGAGTGATTGCTATATTAATCGTCATAACAATATAATGTAGTTGAAAATTTATAAAAGCGATTTAAATTCAATTCAATGAAGTTGATTCATTATGTATCGATCTCGATCCCTAGACAAGTATTTATCAATTAATTTTTTACATCTGATTTCGTAGAAAGTATCGGTGGTGCATACAGTAATTTGATGGTGCTATTTTTCTCCTAAATTCATTATAATAATAAATATAATGTTAAATATTAAGCTCTCTCTATCAAAATGCAAAAATATGATAATTTTTTCAATTTGCTAGCAATTAGGGCCATAAATTATTTCATAATTTTCATTAACTAATAATCCATTCTATATTCTTATGCTGTACTTTTATACTTTATTTTGGAAAGATGCTAGTCTACATGATAGCTATTATAACTGAATTTTTCAAGTAATAGATAGTTATAAGCCCCTTTTTTAAATAATTCTAATGTGCGACATCTTGTTTATAAAGTAAGCTCCATGAATAACTATTATATTGATAGAAATTGGACTCTCACCAAAGGTTACACAGAAAAGGAAATAAATGTTTTAACAATGATGATAGTCTATTAATGTGCGTTTTAGTTGTGAAAAAGAGTAAGAGGTGTTAGATTCGATGACGATCAAAGTACTAACGTAGGAATTAAGTAACATAGTCATGAAGTATTTTGGTAGTATTTCATTAGAAATAAGAAGCCCAAACATTTAATGATGAAACGTTGTTGTCACATCACTTGGATATACAACAGATCTTTAAGACCGTATAAGTAAGGTAATATGAAGTCTTCTAGTCAATGATAACTAATTAAACGTTATATCATGTTATAATAACTTATGATGTATATAAGTTTATAGTCATGTTGGTGGGGAATTAATGCCTTGTATTTCACCATTAGATACTATAAACAAGTCATAAAATAACTAACTTGCACGAAAAATAGACTGTATAGCGTACAGTATGATCAATTTTCATGATTAGCAAACAGCGTGGATGTACATATCTATCATCATATTAGAAGAAAACAAAAGTTCCCATTTTAAGCACTAAAGAATAAATGTATAAACACGTGATGAAAAACTATAAACGCAAGTTGGCGATAAGTTAAAATATTACAAATGACTGACAATAATGAATAGCATAATGTATGTGGTAAAAGGCTATAAAGTATTGTGTATGGCAAATTAATATGAAAAAGTCAGGGAATTAGAGTTGATCAAACCCATGGAGAAGAAGTCGATTTGTTGATTCTCATTACTCATTATAATTAAGGATTTGAATAGTAGGCGGGGCTAAATAAATAGTGATCGTCTAATTTTTCTTCATTGAAATTAAAATTACTTTAGACGATTAACCTCTACGAGAGACAGAAGTAAACTGTTGGATAGGCTTACCTAAACTAAAATAGTTATAGTCAATCAATGCCTTAGAGATTTCGCTTTTTAAAGAGTTCCACAAGTAATCTTAACGATCATAGCTACCGTCGCAATAATGTAGACATAATAGCATATCCATTTTAATACCGTAAGATATAGATAAAAAGTGACAATTGAACACTACCCAAATTGAAGGAGATTGTACATGTGCGTTTATATCTTTATAGATTATCTAAAAACGCTCCCTTATTATTTAGATTGACTATTTTGATGTAAACAATACAAAAAATTTCATTACATATTAGTAAATTGTACAGAGTAAGTGCATATGTACAAGAGAGAGAGGAGAGAACATGTCTAAAAAGACTTATTCTGTTATCCGAGTTGACTTAGTGTGCATATTTAACAAATAAGAATATCTCGATTACTATATGTACCGTAGATGACGAGTACAAATTCGTTTGATTACTCAGTTGCTATATTCATTTTTACTTACTACTTGGAGCAATAAATTAAATAGGAAAGTTGAAATTGGTGAAAGAAAATTGTTAAATAGGAAGATTTTGTCATTAGTACTGATAGAATATTAGCTAGAAAGCTATCAAAATGATCTTTAGTATCTTTCGTCAGTTTAAACTTTAATTAAACGCTCTTGCTATTGGAAGTGGTATTCTGTAAGTATTTCTTAAAGTTAAAGTAATATAGAAACATTGAATTTTTGATTTCATAAGAGA